GATCTGGACCCCCCAAATGTGAGTGTCAGTGAGAAGGCCTGGGCAACCTATGGGGCCTTGAGCAGTGGATCAGTGTCTATCCCTGGAATACAAACAGTCATTGTGTGCACATAGCACAAAGAGGGATGCTCTCTCAGCCTGGACTCTTAGGGGAGTGCCTGGACCCTACCAAGAGTAAAATGACAGACTCTAGATATCCCCTATGTGGAAGGAATTGGCAACAGGGTGGGAGGCTGGGGGGGAAGGGGAGTGCGGGAGGAGGGGAGGGAGAGGGAACTGGGATTGACATGTAAAACAAGCTATTTAAAATTAAAATAAAAAATGATATTAAAAAAGAAATGGAATGTGATCTTCAAATGCAACTCCTATATTGCCTTGGAGATTTTGTGGGATGTAAAAAAGCTGTGGAGAACAAAGAAAGAAGGAACAATGTGAGAGAATAAAGACAGGAATCCATTAAGAGAGAATAAAGACAGGAGTCCATTAAGAGAGAATAAAGACAGGAGTCCATTAAGAGAGGATAAAGACAGGAGTCCATTAAGACAGGGCCTGAGTGTCTTTTCCCCTAATCCCCCCCAGATAAAAAAGTCTCACTGTGACAGATAACACTGTGGATTTCCTTCAATGCCCTGGGCAGCCTAGGAGCTGGCTCTCTCAAGACCACGGTACTCATTCCCTACACACAGTGAGGAGTCAGATGCAGCTGCTCTGAGAACTGCATTATCTCCACATTGCATTCCTGTGCAGACACTATAGTGTATTTACAGAAACTAAGATGGCTGTGCTGTCACATGGTGGTATGATCCTATGGGACCATAGGCGTCTACACCATCTGCCCTGGTCTAACACCATCACTATGTAGTGTGTGACTGTGCGTCTGTAATGTTTACATCTTCTTCCCACCGTAAACTTTTCATCGTCTACTAGACTGCAACACAGCCACCTCAGTTTGGCTGCCTTTTACATAGGTTTCTGTTTCTAATTTCAACTTCTTTGTTTCATTTTATCTGATAGCTCTCCTGAAACCAGCATGCACATGGATCTCATTTATTTTTCTTTTTTTTTATTTTGTTGTTTACTATTGATTAGCAACCTTGGAAATAGATATTCTCATCAGAATTCATTGCAATGCAGGGATCTAGAAGTATCTCATTAGACTGTAAAGGATATTGATGGGAGATGTCATTCTGAAATCTGTCTCTTGTTGGTTGTTGAATAAAGCACTGTTGGCCAATAGGGAAGCAAGATAGGTGGGACTAGGATTCGAGGAGGACTCTGGGAAGGAGAAACACAAGGAGCCACCATGTAGCTGCCATAGGAGTAAGAAATCTGGACCCTTTCTCTGGTAAGACAAATACTTAGGTTAAAAATTGTGGAGTAAATACTTAAGTAAGAGATAGCCAGTAAGAAACCAAGCAAACTGCCAACAGCTTCATAAGTAATATAGCCTCCTATGTGTTTATTTGGGACTGATGTGGCTCTGGAACCAGGCTGGCGGGAAGGTTTCTCACTACAGGATATAGCAAAATTAAAAACCACACCAGAATCGCTCCAACAGTGGCCACTGCTTAATCTGTCACATTGACTGGAAACTGGCTTCACTTCAAACACAGACCTAGTTCCAAAGTCTTCATGGCTTCCTGCAGCCTGAGCATTCCTCTCTCCTGGCACAGGCGGTACCTCGAAGCCATGGACTGAAGCATCCATTTGGCCCAAAGCTTGTGGTCATAAGAGCTGTAAACTAAGGCCTCAGGGAGTTGGAAAGATGTCGTGACTCACCTGCTCCATGTGAAGGATTTGAGATCCCTGTGGTCCAAACAGATATTTTAGCAGCACGTCTACACTTGAAATAGGTGTGGATCTTTCAGATCTTGAGGAATTTCCACTGTGGCAGGATAACTTTACGGGTTAGATAGTTTCCCATCTCAGTTCCTTGAAAGCAACACGTTTCCAGCAGAGACTAGTTCAGGCTTAACTTTGTCAGATCTCATTTCTTAACCAATTTTCCATCTCTGCTTCCAATAAGAGGGTTTACTTCAATTAACCTTCAATTCAGGTACACCTCAACTAGTCTTCAGTTAATTACTGAGAGAAAATCCTTGCTCTCTCGGCTTTAGCTCTCAACTTGACACAGTCTAGGATCACCTGAGAAAGGAGTCTTGATTGAGAGAAATCTGGGTCATATTGACCCATGGGCATTTCTTTGTAGTTACTTTAATTGTTGATTGATAAACAAAGGCCCAACCAAGGTAGGTGGCATCACTCCCTGGGCAGTAAGTCCTGGGCTGGATCTAAAGCGAGCTAAACATAACCCTGTGAGTGAGCTAGTGTGAAGCATCCTCTCTGGTCTGCTTCAGCTTCTGCCCCACCCTCTTCAGGGTGGACTGTGACCTGGAAGTGTAAGCTCAATGTGGCACCTGCGCCACGGGCACGTCCAAGGTCTCTGGAAATGAAAAACAAGACGTCCAACCGTTTGTGCTAAGAGAATGTGTCTGCCGCCTTTATTGCCAGAGAATGCGTGTGTGTCTGTCTTTTATAGCACAGTGGAAAAGACCCAGATGTAAGAGCTCATGTTTTCCTCCTACTGATGTCAGGCAGGCAAGGTCAGGGCTGTACACAGGATGCACCTGTGGCTATCGGCGGACAAGCAATGCAAAAGCAATGCTGGACAGGGACCCAACAGCTAAAAGCAACCCTTTCCTCCCCAAAGCCACTTTGGTCCAAGGGTTCATATCACACTAACAGAAAGCAAGCAAGGGCACTTGCCTCTAACCACACCCAACTCTTTTTCCTGCCCTCCTTGTCTCCTCCCTGAATCCCCGCCTTTGCCTTGCTCACTTAGTTGGTATTCTTAGAGTTCTTCTGCTTCTCGTTTCATGTTTGCACAGCTTTTTAATGTTTATTTTATTTATCATGCATACAGGGTTCAGCCAGAAGATGGCACCAGATCTCATTATAGATGGTTGTGAGCCACAATGTGGGTGCTGGAAATTGAACTCAGGACCTCTGGAAGACCAGCAAGTGCTCTTAACCTCTGAGCCATCTCTCCAGCCCCGTTTGCACACTTTTTTCCCATCATTAACCTTGGGGACTAAGTCAACATCTTTTAAAACTCATTATTAGGCTGTGTGCATGGGGTGGGGGGAGGACATGCCCAAGGAGGTCAGAGGATAACTTCTGGGATTTGGTTCTCATCTTCCACATTGCGGAAGCAAGGTCTTGTCTGCTGCTCCTGCCACAATACACACTCCAGGATCGCTGGCCAGTGAGCTTCCGGGTGTAAGTCAACACCTAAACTCACAGAAACCTTATTTGAATATCAATTTACTTTCTGTAGTATGCAGACTCTGTGCATTTCATCTCTGTCCCTCTGCCTATACTATTATTGCTGCATATCACGTATTTACACGTTTCATAATTGTCAGCACAGACTGGCAATCATTGTTTTATGCATTGGTGTCTGTAGCCATACAGGCAAAACAGGAAGGAATTACAACCCTGGAGCACACTAACATTTCTATTCATGGTGTTGTTGCCGTGCCCTGTGCTCGTTCCTTCTGTGGATTTAACAGGTCGAATTATTTCATCTCAGCCTGGAGAACTTCCTCTGCCTTGCCTCATAAGGCAAGTCCACGTGTCATGCTTTTGTTTAGGTTAGAAGATGCATGCTATAGAACATGAACACAAACCAGGAGATACATTAACCATGGCGTTTATTACAGGGCAGGGGGGAGAGCAAGAGAGAGAAGAAAGAACAAGAGAGAGAGAAATTAAGAGGAAGAGGGGAAGAGAGACGGGGTGAAGGGGAAGAGAGAAAGCAAGAGGAGAGAGCAAAGATCAAGAGAGCGTGAGTGGGCGGGGTCTGTTTTTTAAAGGGTCCTTTACACCTGCATCCAAGTCACAAGGATCCCGGAAGAGACCACCAATGCAAATGCACCAGGTTTATTAATCGTCCACGGGAGGGACGCGGTCTAGCGAGTTGACACAGCAGCCTCAGGAGGGGGTGAAGCTTCCTGTCAACTGCTAGGTTTTAAAGAAAAAAAGCTACAGGACTACATCATTGGTACGGGTTGGTGGCTGATTGATTGATATTTGGGGAATATTCAAGAAATTATTTCTAAGTCATGTTTTTTGGCTTGTAACACCTGTGTACCCGTTTTTCTTGTAGACTGCTGCTGGGAGGGTACATTCTCTGGTTTCTATGTTTTCCAGGTGGTCTATTGTACCAAATTTTTCAGAATTGAATTTCCTGGAGACTACAGGGGAGTTTCTTTTGCAGTCAAACAGTCCCCAGGATCCAAGTATCTAGGAGGCTGTGGGGGTTTGGAGTTCCTTTGTGATTAATTTTGGCCCTAGGCCTGTTGCATACAACATAGTCTTGAGGAGCTAAGGCAGGGGAAGGGCTGATCTGGGGTTTTGACACTTCAACTAGTACTCATGGAACCCTGGGCTGCCCAGAGCACTGCCTGAAAGCATTCTGCCAGGTGACAGGGGCAGGCCAGCATAATACCTGAATCCTTTCACCACTGATAATGAGTCCCTTCAGCTTTCATCTGGAAACATCCTGCTTTCTACTTAATTCCTGAAGGACAATTTTTCTTGACAAACTTTGGATGACATTCTTCAGGATTTGCATGTGTTATCCTGTATCTTCTGGCCTCCATAGTCTCTGATGGGAAATTAACAGTTAATTAATCTCATGACGGTTCCCCTTGTGTGTAAAGGACGAATGCTTCTCTATACTGCTTTCTAAACTCTCCCTGCAGTTCCCTCTGTCTTCAGTGTCCCAAGAACCATCTGGGCTCTGGATGCTCAGAGAGATTGCAAGGCTCTGATCTCAGCCCTGTCAGAGCTGTGGCCTCTTCCTCGGAGCTCCTCCTCCTCATTTCAGATTCCCTTCCCAGTGCTTCAAACTCCTCCTCCTCCTCCTCCTCCTCCTCCTCCTCCTCCTCCTCAGAGCATGGCTCCTCCTCAGAGAGTCCCCACCTCCCCGGAGAAGATCCTCCTCCTCAGAATGTCCCCTCCTCCTCCTCAGCAGAGATCCCCACCACCTCCTCCAGTGCCCTCCTCCTCAGGGTCCTCCTCAGAGCTCTTCTTCCTCTGAGTGCCTCCTCGGATTCCTGCAGGGCTCCAGACACCTCTTGCCTCTCCTCTGCTGAGCTTCAGAACGCACCACACAGGTAAAGGCAGGGCTTGCGAGTCTGCACCTCCACTGGGGAAGGGATGCAAGGCAGGCCCCACCCCACCCCTAAGCTGGAGTCACCTGGGCACCCGAGTGTGGCAGACCCTCACCTTTGGGCTGGGTGCTTCTCCCCTGTTGGAGTGAGCAGAGGGGAACCCCCCAGTGTGGATGGGGTAAGCAGTTTTCAGTTGTCCCAGGCCGAGGCTAAGTTGCCAGAACCAACCTGGACCTGATAAAGGCAGGTTCCTGGGGCTCACCCCAGAAGTCACGGAAAGGGGAACCTGCTTGTAGCCAGGCCTCAGGGCTGGACCTCTGTTCTGATGCCAGCAGGGTGGAAACCCGACCCTGGGCCTTTGCATAACTTGCCCTTTGGAGTGTATTCCTGGCCTAGCAGGCACAGACAGGCAGTACCTGAGCAAACCAGACCTCTCTTCACAGACCCTGCTTCTTGCCCTTTGGGGTTCACAGAAGGTGGGGAAGGGAGGTGGGGCTGGGGAGGGGACCAGGCCAGCTCTGCTTGCCCCGCCCACAGCTGGAATGTTGTCAGTGACTGGCAGCCTTGGAGGACCCACTCCCATTCAATTAGGAAAAACTAAAAGAAATCTACACTGAGCCAAAATCCCAGCACTCGGGACTCAGGGGCAGGAGGATCTCTGGGAGTTCCAGGACAGTCTCGCCTACATGCCTACATAGGGAGTTCCAGGACAGCCAGAACTACATAGGGAGACCCTGCCTCCAAACAAGAAATTCTACACTGAGCATACAAGGACCTTTACAGTGAAGGACCACAGACCACCAACTGGAATGCACAGTTATACCCTGTTGTATTTTATCATCCTTATCTCCACGCAAACAGCCCATCCTGTTCTTGTTGGTGTGTGCAGACACTGCTGAACTCCCCTCTGAGAGAGCCCAGCATACATTCTGCATCCTCGCCAGAGTCTTGGAATTCTTTCGTATGCCAAGTGACAGAAGTCCTGGAGATTGGGTTTCCTTTTCAGTATTGTGTTTTGAGACAGATTTTATACTGTAGCCCAGGCTGGCCTGGAAATCAATGCACTCCTCCTGCGTCCAGCCTCCCAAATGCTGAGATTACAAGTAAGCTACCGTGTGTATTTAGCCCAGACATTTTTAAAGCGTGTCTGCCTCCCAGCCCCAGGATGTGAAGGGGTTTGAGGTTTTTTTCTGTGGGGCTGTCTGTAGATCTGGAAAGAGTTGCCCTAGGTCTCTGAGGAGGGCGTGAAAGCAACTGTCCACCATTTAGCTTGATCCTAAGGACTGACATGGAGTGTGCAAATAATGCTTCAAAGAACAAAATGTTTCAGAATGATTCTTATGGAACAAAATGTTTCAGGAGAAGTGAATGGAATGTTTTCTGAAAGTCTCCGTGGACCAGGTTGGCAGTGACTGAACTGGGTGGTTGGCCTGTGTACTCCTAGTTTGCCCAGGTTGAGTCCACTGGCTCCATGTGTGATTTCTAAGTTCTAGGGCACAGTTGGCAAGTTCGTGCTGGTGATGAGTCAAAGGTTATGGCTTTGAGATCGGTGAGTCCAGGTGTTGCTCAGCCACAAACCACAGACACCCCCCCTCCCCGAATTCAGCTGTCTGGGAGGGAGAGAAGGGACATGTGTGGCCTGTGAAATTTGTCTCCACTGTCAGAAACGCTGTTCAGAGGGCAGGGTCATCTTTTTGCTCACAGAAGATAGTTTGGGTGGTGTGGCAGTTAGCATCTTGACATTTTGTGCAGCTGCCTCTGCCCTGAACATAGACTTGTGAGAAGGCAGTACTCAGGTGGTGCTCAGGGGAAGACTGCGGTGGAGAAGAGGGCCTGTTCGTTGGCTGTCCTGGAAAATGACTTGTGTCCCCACAAGGGTAGTGGGAAACAGACTACTAAAATGGAAATGTTCTGGTTTCCAGGACACCTCACAGGCGTCTTCCCTCTCTCTGCCCAGTCAAAGTTCTCCCACATGTAGTCCTTGGGGGGGGCTGGGATACAGTGCTGCACAGTGGAGAAGTGCCTGTATCCCCTCTACCCCAGCAGGTCGGCTTACTCAGGGAGATGCTCATCCCACACCCGAACCTGTGACCCTGCTGGGTCTTGTCACTGCCTATCCTGCTCTGCGATTCACCAGGCAACATTGTGGTATTTAAAAGTAGGATCCCAGGACCATGCTGATTCAAGGTTGACAGACCACACAGGAGGTCCCACTCTTGTCAATTTGAAGCTGGCTGACAGGGCAGGAGCCTTCCCAGAGCCTCAGTAGACATATCTGTGATAGGTGAAGAGCTATGCTTAGGCCATGTGAAGACCTGTGTCTGCTGTGTGCATTGTGTCCATTTTTCCTTGGCTTCAGACGTAGCAGCAGTAATGGGAAACCATGGCATGCAGGGAGGGCCAGTGACATTCTGACCCTTTTCATGAAAGCAGTTGGAATTCAATTTGGCGATATTGGATCATCTTCCCAAACACATTTCTCGTCACCATCTTCGGGATTCCTTATCTGTGCTATGAGCCCTCTGATTGGTCTACCTGTTGGATGGTACAGCATTGCTATTGCATGGAGATATCATGAGTGTTTGGTCAAAATTGTGTGTGAAGTAATGTGTTCAAAAAATGGTAATCCCCTCTAAATCTGAACCTGGTTCCTGTGTTTGAATTTTTCCTTCAAAGAGAAAGAGGACAGGATACATGACACAGCTAGACTGGAATATAGGGTTTACCTTGGTTGTTATTATTTCAGAGGGGCTCAGTGAATTAAGAACAAGAGCCTCACCAATCACATGGACAGACAGGTCTGTGTGCAGTATGTATGTACTCGGTACCTACTTGGCCAGGCCTTACTTGTCATCCAGAGAGACGAAAGCACCAACAAGGTTCTCGCAGCTAGGGAAGCAGCCAGAGTTTCTAAGTGACTTCCTCGAGGTTGCCAAATAATGCAGCTGTCTGGAAACAACAAGGCCTGGGCGTGGGGGACAGGATGGGAAACTTGAGCTCGCTCCCTTGTGATTTCTACTCAGTGATGTTGATTGTAATTCAACAAAGGGTGCTTTCTTCTTGTTTGGATCTTTGCCCACAAACAGGCAATTTCATAAAAGGCCAATGGAATGTATCTTGGTTGCAGACAGCCATAGTGAGCTTTTTAGGTTAGTAGTATTGGAAACTAATGTTAAACTCAGTGACTTGCAAACTTGTACAGATGGTACAGAGAAATATGGTATTCATTCTAATGGGTCTGGGTTGCTAGGAAAAAGCCCAGATTTTTCTCTAAATTTTAATTATTAAAAGATAGTGGCTGGGGAGCTTTCTGCAGCATGCAATTACCAGCGTTTGCCAACTGCTCAAGGTTAAGGGGAGGAAACGTCTGAACTGGCCATCCAGTTTGATGAGTAGCATGTGAAAAACTGAAATGGGGCCTGTGGGATGGGGAGACACCACTCAGGAGCCCAGGCAAGCCATGGTGCTTGTCCACTGGTTCATTCATAGTGCCTGTGCTCCTTGATTCTTCGGAAACCTGCTCTAAATAATGTCATGGACATCCATGCACTGAAGCTCTGACTGGGAGACAAGCCCTTAATCATGACTTTCTAGTTCCCTATGCCATCAGTGGCCACGGGCCGGGACCTACAATTTTCTGTCATTACTCAAGAAGAGCTGTTGTGTAACAGACTTTTCCTAGGGAGATGCAACTCTCCTTTCTCCTCTCTCTCTCTCTCTCTCTCTCTCTCTCTCTCTCTCGTCTCTCTCTCTCACACACACACACAAACACACACAATGATCTTTTTGTTCTCCCCAAAATAACAAGGGGTATCTTGTGGAGCAATCCTTTCTAGAACTGCCCGGTTCTCCATATTGGAAGTGTCTTGCAAGTCCATGGACTTCTCTAGGGTCACTCAGTCCCCTCATACGGGGATTTCTTGTGTACCCATTGTGGAGACAATCTCCCCACACTTGGAGGTTCCTACCATCCACAACCACAGAGTCTTACTGGGTTCCTTCACTGGCTTTTCAATCTCTGGCCCATGTATGAGATTTCTTTGTTACCAGAGGGCTTCAGTCTAATCAATGGGTTAGTCCACTGATGAGTTCACACATGACTGGACTACTGAGAGGGTTGGAAGCAGTCAGTTACTGGGGTTCTGTCTTTGAAGGATCCATCTTGTCCCTCGAGCTTCCCCTCTCTCCCAGCTGTCATGAGATGCTCTTTGCTTTGCCACATTCTCTCAGTACTGTGTGTTCTGTGTAGCTATAGTCTCCCAGCCATGAAGCAGGTTGACACGGAGGGAGACACCTGAGCCATGCACCAAGATAAGTCTTTTGGTCTCTTAGGTGTTTCTCTTAGCATCAGTCACAGGAACAAAAACCCAAACAATAATCTTGTGTTCAGCATAACCACACAGTAGTGCTTGAAACATCCAGTTTAAAATAATGAGACAGGCGAAAGAGCCAGGATGAATAGTCCAGCCAGGTGGTGGTGGTGCCCGCCTATAATCCCAGCACTCGGGAGGCAGAGGCAGGCGGATCTCTGTGAGTTTGAGATCAGCCTGGTCTACAGAGCTAGTTCAGGACAGCCTCCAAAACAATACAGAGAAACCCTGTTTCGAAAAACCAAAAAAAAAAAAAAAGTCCATACCCAGGAAAATAAACAGTGAATGCAGACTACCCATGACACTGAAGGCACCAGACTTTAAATCACCTCACTAAAATCTGTTCAAAATGCTAAAAGAAAATGTCCCTAGAAAGGAAAAGATTGGGGCTGACGAGATGGCTCTGTGGTTAAGAGCTCTGGCTGCTCTTCCAGAGATCGAGGATCAATTCCCAGCACCTGCATGGCAGCTCACAACCATCTGTTAACTCCAGGTCCAGGGGGATCCAATGTCCTGGTGCACAGACTACCTACCAGCATACTCATAAAAACAAATATTTTTAATTAAAATATTACCAAATACCAGTAATGAGACAGAAACTAAGAACAGAGACCAAAAGAAATTCTGTAGCTGAAAATGAAAATAATCAAAATGAAAATCCCTTCAGAGTCCAAGAGCAGATATGAGCAGTCAGAAATAATAGTCAGCAAGCATAAAGACGGTCAACCAAGAGCTCATGCCCAAGAATGAAGAGGAAAGGGAGTGATACAGAGACCTTTATGTATCCTGATTTCCACGTAGTGCAGGCCCAGTTAAGAATTTGATGAAGTCAGCCAGGCTGTGGTGGCGCACACCTCTAATCCCAGCACTCGGGAGGCAGAGGCAGATGCATCTCTGTGAGTTCAAGATCAGCCTGGTCTACAAAGCAAGTTCCAGGACAGCCAGGGCTACACAGAGAAACCCTGCCTCAAAAACCTAAATAAACAAAGAATTTGATGAAGCCATTAATCTGTGTGTATAAGAAGTTCAAGAAACTCTGTAATGATAAATTTAAATTTTCAGTTTCTCATCTATAATCTCTTAGGACGCACCTCTGAGTGTTTCTGTGAGGCGTTTCCAGCAAGGTTTAACTAAGGCAAGGAGATCTACCCAATGTTGTTGGTACAATACCATGGGCTGGAGCCACAGGCTGAATACAAGTGGGGGAAGGAGGAAGTGAGCAGGGGGAATCCTTATTCATCTCCTTCTGTTGCCTGACTGTGTGATTCTCCTTCTGCTGCCTGACTGTGTGATTCTCCTTCTGCTGCATGACTGTGTGATTCTCCTTCTGCTGCATGACTGTGTGATTCTCCTTCTGCTGCCTGACTGTGTGATCTCCTTCTGCTGCCTGACTGTGTGATTATCCTGCTGCTGCCTGACTGTGTGATCTCCTTCTGCTGCCTGACTGTGTGATTATCCTGCTGCTGCCTGACTGTGTGATTATCCTGCTGCTGCCTGACTGTGTGATTCTCCTGCTTCTACCTGACTAATCCCCACTTTTCCTGTTCCCTTGAGGCAAGTATTTCCTCACAGATTTGAGAAAAGTAACTCAAAGAAACTCCTAGGATAGCTTTCAGCAAAGCTATATCTGGACAGTTTTAATCCAGCTATCAAAAAACAGAAATCTAAAAGCAAGAAAGAAGCAGTTCACCTTGGGAGGGCCATCAATAGCATTGGCATCTGGTTTCTAATGCAATTGGAGGCAACAGTGACATTGTCCCTCCAGAAGTGGCTAGACATGTTGTAGACTAGAGTTTGTAGAAATGTCTTCTGGGTCCCACCAGCCGCTGCTTCCTGACTCTCATGTGTGACTTGCTAGGACCAGCCATGTGGAGCCGTGTGCCTCACTGGGAGCTGCCCGTAGACCAGGGGCAGTCTGGGCATCAGAAGCAGCGCTCTTGGTGCCAGCTACCCATCTCGTAGATCCCACTGGGATGTGTCTGGCATGTGAGTGTCTGTGGGTCTGGAGTGCGTTAGTGCTGTCTCAAGGTGTTGTTGATGGGTGTGCAAGTGTGTGTTGTGCCTGTGGGAAGACGTGAAAATGTGCCAATTGTAGACTTGTGTGATTATGCACTTCAGTGAAAGTGCCTCACTTGTGCAGTCTGAGGTAACGATTCCAGCTCAAGGGGGACACTGAGCAAGAGGGTTCTTTTAGGTAAGAAATTTGTTGAGTTGTTAATGCCATAGACGTCAGGAGGGTGAGGAGGAAAGATCAGGGCCACATGGCAGAGTGACAATCCGTTCTTACACATTTCAGAGAAAGGAGGAGGGATGGTAGATTCTCGTTTCCCTTTGGCTTGCAGTTGGCCATTGCTAGGAGTAACCAGTGAATAGTCAGCTCAGAAAGGTCAGATGATCCATAAACATGTTTTCTGGTCACCTAGGCAACCAAGTTAACTTCAATTCTAAAAACCAAACTACTGCAGTCACTGGAGTTGTCAAAGTTCAACCAACATTTACAAAATGGCATATGCCCGACAGAAGTGACTGTCTATAGTTTGCACTTGGCTGAGTGTCCCCAGAGCTTCACGTAATCCCTACTCTGAGGTACCTCTATGGTAATAAAAGGTGGAAAAAGACTATTTGAAAAATAGCTTTAGATGAGACCATTTGGGCAGACCCTATGGTTGAGTTCAGTGGTTTAGGAGAGGAACAGTGCCCCCCCCACACACACATAGACTTCGTGTTTCTTTTTTTTTTTTTTTTACGAGACAGGGTTTCTCTGTATTGTTTTGGAGGCTGTCGGTCCAGCCCAGCCTCGAACTCACAGCGATCCACCTGCCTCTGCCTCCCGAGTGCTGGGATTAAAGGCGTGCGCCACCACTGCCCGGCTGACTTCGTGTTTCTTGTCATGTAATGCATCACAAATACCACTGGGACTTGATCACCAGGTGGAAGGGAGCCCTTGAGCTTCCCGAACCATAAGACAAAGTAAACCTAAGGTTTAATTACCTTGTACGTGTGTGCACATTCATGAACCCACATAGAGGTCAGAGAACAATTTATGAGAGTTGATTCCCTCCTTCCACTGTGTGGTCCTGGGGTCAAACTCAGATTGTCAGGCTTAGAGGAAGGAGCCTCTACCCACTAAGTCGCCTGCCAGCCCCCTTTCCTTGATAAAATAGTATGCCTTAAGTATTTTTGTCACAGTAGTTTTATGAATGTATTAATCCTCGTTTCCTGTGCTTCCTGTCATATGGTCTCTAAGAGTACTCCATAAGGCCCCCCGCAAGAGCGGATGACATATGACATATGGGTCAGATGAGGATCTGTCAGCATTGGGCAAGTGAGTTGAAGAGAAACAAAGCCTGCACCATACTGAGAGTTTGAGTCAATAGGAAAAAGTCCCAATTTTTTGTTGTTTGAGGTGGGGGTCGTCTTACACTGTAACTCAGGCTAGAGTAGAACAGCAATCCTCCTGCCTCAGCCTCACAAATGCTGGGATTACAGATGTGAGTCACTACACCAGGCTCCAGACTACATAGTTCTGAGGGGAGCTGGGGCTGAGCTCAGGTGTATCAGAAAGATGGAGAAGGTCTACTACTTCACCTCCCTACCCTGGGAAGTAGATGGAGAAGAAAGGGGGGAAAGGCCTATGGAGCAGCCTCTGCCCCCTGCTCTGCCTGCTTCTTCTGGCTACACAGACAGCATAGCAGCTTGGCTCAAAGCAGAGCACAAGGGGTGATCTCTGCTCCTTTAGAAGGGTATAGCCTTGCATGGTATAAGTGTCCTACCTGTGCCAGGTATCTGGAGTATGGAAGACTGCATTGTGCTCGGGTGCCTAGGGTCAGCGTGGCATCCATGGGGTGGGCTGCTGGTCAGGGAAACACTGTCTGTAGCCTGGCCTTGACCATTTTGCTGAACCTAGAGTACCTGATGTACCAGTGATCAGCTTCTGCCTTCCTCCCAGTGTCCCTCGCTTGCCTGCAGTCTATTCCAGGCACCTGGTCACACAGCCCAGTGCCCTGCAGGGCCATTCAGGCCCTCTGTCACTGCCAGGAAAGTCCCACTCCAGATGGAGGCAATAGTCCTAAGCCCCTCTAAGTTGTGCTATCTGTATACCTCCTCTTGAGCAAGTGCCTGAACAGAGGGGTGCATCTGTCATCTGCCCATGAAGCTCCCAGTACCCAGACAAGCACACCCAGTATGCTAAGCCCACATGGTTCCCCAGGGTTTCTGTCCCCTTCTCCTGCATAAGCCCCTAAGGACCAGAGCGCATGGACCCCTCAGGCTACCATTGGCTCTGGCCTGCCTTGCCCCTCCTTGTACTCTGCACTGACAACAGCAGCTTGGCTTTAAGGCAGAGGGCAAAGGGCAGCATTGGCTCCTAAGGGATCAGCCTGGGCCAGATGAGTGCCTGGAGTGTGGTAACACTGTTTTTCTTGGTCTTAGTGGCTGGAGTAAGAACCAAGAGGTGTTTCCAGAAAAAAACCCTGAGAGCATCAGGACAGCCATGAGGCTGCTGACTGGGGCTGAGCTGTGGTCCGTAGTCATATTCATGGCTATCTTCCTGCTTCTGGTGGACCTAATGCACCGGCGCCACTGCTGGACTGCCCGCTATCCGCCAGGCCCTACGCCATTGCCTGTGCTTGGAAACCTGCTGCAGGTGGACTTCCAGAATATGCCAGCAGGCTTCCAAAAGGTATGGGAACTGTTGATGTCTGAGAGGCCATGGTGAACTCCCATCAGAGCACAGTGGGTGGCAGTGTAGCTGCATGCTGCTCAGGAGCTAGCCTCCAGGAGAAAGCTTAGGCTACCTTCCCTTGGGGAGAGTGGTGCAGGACCTGAGGACACCCTGAACTTCCCAAAGGCAGTGCCCAAAAGGCGGGATGGGACCTAACAGCCAGTTTGAGATTCAGTTAGCAGGACAGAGTATAGTGGGCGATGGTGGTTCTGGGGTTGCATCCTAATTCCAACATGCCTGCCACTGGGAGGCTAAGGCAGTTGGGTTATAAATTCCAGGCCACCTTAAGATACATAATGAAACTATCTCTATAACCAAAATTTGAGAGCCAGGTGAGGGGATATATGCCTCTAATCCCAGTACTTGGGAGACAGAGGTAGGCATATTTATTTGAGTTCTAAGCTAGCCCATGCTCATAAATGAGCCCATTTCAAAAAAAGCAAACTCTAAAATTTTTAAAGGAAAAAAAGCCCAGTACAGTGGTACAGACCTTTAATCCCAGCATTCAGAGGAGGTAAAGGCAAGCAAATCTCTGTGAATTCAACTTGGTCTACATAGCTAGTTCCAAGATCTTGGCTCAAAAAAACAATCACATACTCTGTGAGTTCGAGGCCAGGCTGGACTGACAGCCTCCAAAACAATACAGAGAAACCCTGTCTCGGAAAACCAAAAATAAAAATAAATAAATGAGGAATCAAGTTATATAGGCCTCATATTCCTTTCCATACAACCAGGGGGAAATGTTTTTGCGAATGTGGGAGAGGCCATGGTCCTGAGTTAGTGTTTCTGTCAGGAAATCAAAGTTGAAAGAGGTACAGCGATTGTTCCCATCCTTTCGCTATTTCAGACTCTCAGAGTCCCTACTTAATCTATGAGCCTTAGTTTCCTCATCTAGACATGAGGATCCCAGTGGAACCAATTGGCATTTGGAAATGTGTGACGCCAGCAAGGCCATGGTGCAGTGTTTGATTTCCTCCTTCTGTGGGGCTCACTCCTAGACCTCCCCTGCCAACTTCTGTCCAGTACAGCCAAGCACTGGGATCCAGGCTTGCCAGTAATGCACTAACTCCTTGCCTACAGCTGCGAAGCCGCTTTGGGGACCTGTTCAGCCTACAGCTGGCCTTTGAGCCAGTGGTTGTGCTAAATGGGCTAACAGCCCTGCGTGAGGCCCTGGTGAGATACAGCGAGGACACCGCTGACCGGCCGCTACTGCATACGAGCGACCACGTGGGCTTTGGACCACGCTCTCAAGGCAAATGCAGAGAGTGACAGAAGTGGTGGGAAAATGGGGACTGGAGGGGGTTCAGGGGTTAGAGACAGTTGGGGACTTAATTCCAGGGGAGGTACAGGCACAGAGAAGAGACAGCAAAGGCTGACAGCTGAAGGGTGGACAGAGGATCTTACAGTAGTGATAGACTATCGTGGTGGTAAAGGGGGCAGGAGCAGAAAAGAGGACTAGGTCTCAGGCCTAAGTGTGGTCCCCCAGGTGTGGTCCTAGCACAGTACGGCTCTGCCTGGCGTCAGCAGCGACGCTTCTCCGTGTCCACCTTTCGTCACTTTGGCCTGGGCAAGAAGTCACTGGAGCAGTGGGTGACTGAGGAGGCCAGATGTCTCTGTGCTGCCTTCGCTGACTATAACGGTAGGTGGTGGGCTGGTGGGTACAAGTGGGGACAGACAGCAAACACCCTGATCGGTGTTTCCATTCCCAGGACTCCCTTTCAGCCCTAATGCTCTGTTGGACAAAGCAGTGTGCAATGTGATAGCATCCCTCCTGTATGCCTGCCGCTTTGAGTACGACGACCCACGCTTCATCAGGCTGCTGGACTTGTTGAAAGATACTCTCGAGGAGGAATCTGGCTTCCTGCCTATGGTGCGGGGCTCACGGGTGTCTGTACCCAGATAACTTCATGCACTGGGGCCTCTCAGAAAGATGATCAACATTCAGGAGTGACAGGGAGAGGGCATTCTGGGAGGAGAGGGGTTAGACTGGGGTCAAGTGCTTGGAAATGATGAGTGCCCGTGAAAACCACGCAAGTCTGAAATCTCCACTGTATGCCAGCCCTTCTGGAAGCTCAGGGCCAAAAAGGAAGGTTAGTGGTTGGCATTTGGGAAGGACTATGTCACCAGTCTCCCCTGGAGGAGGCTAGGACCCAAGTCTGTTCCAGGAGAGCACTGCGCAGGAAGCATCCAGGCCTCTCTATTGGTCCTTCTCTGTTGGTCACAGTTCCTGAATGTGTTCTCGGCGCTCCTGCACATCCCAGGGCTGCCTGGCAAGGTCTTCTCTGGAAAAAAGGCCTTCATGGCCATGCTGGATGAGCTGCTGACTGAGCACAAGATGACCCGGGACTCTACCCAGCCACCCCGAGACCTGACTGACGCCTTCCTGGCCGAGGTGGAGAAGGTGATTGGCAGCTGCAGGGGCTATGGGCTGGCATCCTGTGTGTCACCTAGTGACTCAGCACCCAAGCTGCCCGGGCACAATGGGAGGCTATTGAGGGACTTCCTATCCCCACTGAGTCCACCCTTTCTGCCTGGCCCAGGCCAAGGGGAATCCTGAGAGCAGCTTCAATGATGAGAACTTGCGTATGGTGGTGGCTGACCTGTTCATGGCAGGGATGGTGACCTCTTCGACCACACTGTCGTGGGCCCTGCTGCTCATGATCCTGCACCCGGATGTGCAGAGTGAGCCTGGCTGGGGCTAAGAAGAAAGAGGAAGGACGGGAGAGGCACACTCCTTAAGCTTACTTGGGACACTTGTGGCTCCCGGCACTGGCCTGAACTAGACTTCGGCAAGGGATGATAGCCATCATCTTCCCATGAACCCAGCCCTTAACATGGAGGTAATAGAGGGATAAGGGGCATCCACCTGGGGCTCCTTAACTGTGGGGCTGCTGTCTCTCCAGGCCGTGTCCAAAAGGAAATCGATGATGTCATAGGGCAGGAACGGCATCCAGAGATGGCAGACCAGGTCCGCATGCCCTTCACCAACGCTGTCGTTCATGAGGTGCAGCGCTTTGGTGACATCCTCCCACTTGGGGTGCCTCACAAGACATCTCGTGACATTGAAGTGCAAGGCTTCATTATCCCTAAGGTAGACCTCCAATGTCCCGCCAGTGTTACCAGCCAGCTAGTGGCCTGAGCTGCCCAGTTAAGGACTGGGAATAGGCAATCTACTTCCCAACAGTACCAACTCCCCCCTGGTGAATATGGGAAGTGGAACAAGAACTGTACACCGGAACCCCCAGCTAGACAATTGAACATGTCAAAACATGGCTGGGGTGGTTGTAGCAGCCACTACCCACAAGTACAGGTGACTGTGTATACCTATGTCACTTGTCACTTATTCCGGTCAGAGTATCAAAAAGAGGGCTGAGGAGCTTCTAGGTCTGAGGTTAGATGAAAGTATCAAGTGTGTGGGGTGGAGGCTTTGCCTGTGATCATGGTGACTCTTTCCCAGTCCATGTTCACACCGTGTGCCTCCTGCCAGGGGACGACCCTCATCACCAACCTGTCCTCAGTGCTGAAGGACGAGACCGTCTGGGAGAAGCCCTTCCATTTCCATCCTGAACACTTCCTGGATGCCCAGGGCCACTTTGTGAAGCAGGAGGCCTTCATGCCATTCTCAGCAGGTGCTGTGGGCCCCTGGCTCCCTGCCTCTTCCCAGGGTGCCTGGAGGGTGGAGCATCAAGCAGGCCCCAGACTGACTGAGCCCCTCTCCCACCCACAGGCCGCAGAGCATGTCTGGGGGAGCCCCTGGCCCGCATGGAGCTCTTCCTCTTCTTCACCTGCCTCCTGCAGCGCTTTAGCTTCTCGGTGCCCGCTGGGCAGCCCCGGCCCAGCGACCATGGGGTCTTTGGTGCTTTGACAACTCCATCCCCCTACCAGCTCTGTGCTTTTCCCCGCTAAGAGGAGATATGAAATCTCACACATTGTCCTGCTGGGGTTCTAACGTGCAATAAATCATTTTCTCTGAACTAAATCATCCCCTTGGATCTCTAAGCTATAATGGGACCTCAGTAACCCCCCCCCCAGCTTGGACCTTCACAACCCCCTAGTTATTCTTACCTGGCCATTTGACCCTAAAAGAAGGACTGGTCTTTGAACCTCAGAGAATGATAGCTACCCTTGCCTTTTCCCCTGTCCTCTCTTTTCTCACCCAATTGATAATGTTTGTGCACAGGGGCCAACATCTGGAAGGAGGGTCAGAGAGGACTCCACATAGGTGACTGTAAGTTACAGAGAATAGAAGGGCAGGATTCCTACTGGAAGCCCCCATTTCAGACCCACTTCCTCCTGCCACACAGCTGAGACTAACTGTTCAGCAAGCATCATCACATCTATTGCCTAACTTCTATGACATTCCAGAGATGTATAAAGGTCAGGGAGGCTGGAAATAATATGCCAGGTTGAGTATCCAAGGTTAGCCATTGAGTACCAGGTGCTTCCCTGAAAGGCTTTATGGGAGTCCAGAAGGGGGTTACCTCCCAAGCTTCTTAGTCGCCCCTATTTCTATGACCCCTCAGAGTTACTTGTACCCAGGCCCCTGCACAGCAGTAAGGTGCTTCTGAGACCCGGCTTGGTAGAATGGGCAAGCCTGGTGTTGTAACAGGCCCCCAGACCTTAGCACAGCCTTCTCCAAGATGGAAATACCATTCAGACCATAAAACTCGGCACACTGACAGCACCTCTTGCCATAATGAAAACAAAGACCCAATCCATCCATCGAAGTCCATAGTTCTGGGACAGTCTCTAAATGGACTCACCTTGCTTTTTGGCTTCTGTAGTTCTGCTTCTGGCTAACTGTTCTTGTTAACTGTATGTGTCAATCCAGGATAAGGTTGTTGTGTTTAAAAGCTCACCCTGGCCGGGCATTGGTGGCGCACACCTTTAATCCCAGCGCTCGGGAGGCAGAGGCAGGTGGATCTCTGTAAGTTTGAGGCCAGCCTGGTCTACAGGACAGCCTCCAAAACAATACAGAGAAACCCTGTCTCGAGAAAAAAAAAAAAAAAGACGGGGCTACATTGGGATCCTAAACACTCAGTGTAGTCACCAGCGGGTTAATAAAGCCTTTCTATTGGCTTAAACCTGTGTCTGAACAGTCTTCTCTGATGGACACCTACAACATTTCTGGAGGTTCCATCAAGAGCCCCAAAGCCCAGACCTTGAGATACTGGTAGTCTCAGATCCCCTTGGGCAGGAAAGAGCGCAGTGATCAAAGAACTCCTAGGAAGTGCACAACCTGAAGACTTTCCAGTTCCCTTTGATCAATCATTGCCTAAGAAGTTTTGGAGGAGTCTGTCACCTCCACCCCAAAAAGGAAACAAATTGTAAAGTCTGTTACCTGGTCTGTTAACTGCGGAGGTGAGTCTGGTTTTGGTGCCTTCTGTTTAGAGTGCAAAGGAGTGCTACCGATCCAGTGTCCGGGATCCATGTGTGACACCACCAAACTCCCCTCGTCTGCTCGGCTGTATGAATGTGTGGTGGCCACCCCCTCGTCGTCTTTACTGTGTGTCTCTCTGTACTTCTTTCCTTGTGTTGTTTCTGTCAGTTCTGTTGACTGGAGAAACATCTAAAATGGAAGGACAATGATCCCACCCACAGCTACCCTAGTCCTCCTTCCATGGGCCACAACTTCCGGAAGGTTCACAGGCAGCGGAAGGTTCACAGGCAGCGGCTGCTGCCGTTGTTATGATAATGCTGGTAGCAATGGTAGCCATGAGGCCCTCCTAAATCTTGATTCTTGGCCTCCCTGTGCACAACAAGTTGTCCCCAACCACCGATTGGTGGGGGCAAGTATCATGGGCTCCACTGCAGTTGAAATTTTAGCTTTAGCTAGTTATGAAGAATAAAAACCTTTTAAAAACTCAGTACTCAAGTAAACATAGACTTTTGGACCACCTAAAAACTTCTGCTTCCAGTCTAGAAGCCCAGTTAGATTCTTTATCCAAGGTTTTTCTTCAGAATGAAGAGGGACTGAACATCCTCTTTAAGAGATAAGGGAGGTCTCTAAATAACACTAAAAACAACAACAACAACAAAAAAAACTTGTTACTTCTATGCCAGTCAATTGGAGATCATTAAAAAGATTTAGCCACGGTCAAAAATAACTTAAAAAATAAATAAATAAGAAGAGAAACATCAAAATCTGACAACTGGTACCAGTCTTTTCTCTGAACCCCTGGCTAACTACTCTACTTAAGGCCATGGCTGGGTCATTAATCATTTTGCTCCTAGTTCTTACTACAGGATCCTGATTGCTCAACTGCCTATATAAAACAGAAAACAAATTTTGTTAAACTATTAATGTTAATGAAACAATATAATCCCATTTCACCAGATGAGTTTATGACTTGACTCATACCCATAGAACCAATGGGCCACGTAACAGGCCTCCAGACCTTAGCACAACTGACACTATGATGGAAGTACCATTCAGGCCTTGGAACCCAACATATAGGCAGCAATACCTGCAACGAAGACCCTCCTGATGGGGGAGGTCCTTCTGTATGCTGTGAATATATGCTTCTCTTATTGGTTGATGAATAAAGCTGTTTTGGTCAATGAACAGACAGGATGTAGCCAGGCAGGAAGTATAGGTGGGGCTACCAGACTAGGAGAATTCTGTAAGAGGAAGGCAGAGAGGAGCCACCAGAGAGACACCATGCAGCTGCTGGGAAGATAGGATGCCCAGTCATTCTCCAGGTAAGATAAGGCCATGTGGAAATGCATAGATTAATAGTTATGGGCTAATAATTAAGAGAGAGCTAGGCAACAAGAAGCCTGAGCCATCACCCAAACAGTTTATAATTAATATAAGCTTCAGTGTGTTTATTTGGGATTGAAGGTTGGCAGGACTAGGTGGAACAGAAATTCCATCTATACCCTCCTCAACAGAAAACAGCTATAACACCTTGTGATGGGGAAGTACTGTGTATATGTCAATAAAGCACTGTTGGCCAATAGGGAAGCAAGATAGGTGGGACTAGGAGTCGAGGTGTATTCTGTGAAGGAGAAACACAGGGAGTCATCATGTATCTGCCATAAGGGTAAGAAGTCCAGACCTTTTCTCCGGTAAGAGAAATACTTAGATTAACAATTATGGAGTAAATACTTAAGTCAGAGCTAGCCAGTAAGAAACAAGCAAGGCCAACAGCTTCATAATCAATACAGTGTCTTATGTGTTATTTGGGGACTATAACACGGCAGAGCCCAGGCGACTGGTGGGAAAAACCACAGCGGCTGGCAAGGAAAAGACTTCTCTCTACAACCTTGCCCTGCATTTTCTATATCCTCTCAGAGTTTATAATGAGTTTTCTGCTTAAAGACTACACTTCCCAGCTTCTGTAGATGTTTTGGCCATCCATACACGTGGGTGGCAAGATGCCCCATCCCAGTGAAAAATCAGGGTCTTGCCTAAGGTCAGACTAAGCCTTTCTTTCAGCCTTCTCTCTCTCCAGCTATTTTTAAATAATCTTATTAACACTTGGGAAGACAGGGATTGAGCCCCAATGGCTACAGTAGGCCTGTCATAAGAAGATAAGTCAAGCTTGGGGTCCATTGTCAATGAGATGGGCAAAGAACAAGATGGTGGCATGGGCATCTGAGAGAAAGAAACCGTTTGAACCTTGCTGTGTGTCACACTAGGTATGACGGGCCTCATCTTTGCCTTTGTCCTCTTCTCAGAGGAATCTATGCCAGATTGCCTCACTGTCCTGACTCCTGGGCTGTGACCTTTGCCAGCCTACAGTCCCAGCTATGAGGGACAATTTCCATTTGAAAAGCCCTAGAATCACCAAGGAGGCAAACATCTGGGCATGTCTGAAGAGGGTCTAGATTGAGTTGGCTGAGGTGGGAGGACCACCCTTAATGTGGACAGCACCATTCCGCAAGCTTGGGTCCAGGGCTGAATCAATCAAGGGGAAAATGGAGTAGAGGAACAACAGTCCTCTCTCTCTCTGCTTTCTGATTATACAGACACATGTGACCAGCCATTTCATGCTTCTGCTGCCGTGCCTTCCCTGCCATGTTGAACTACACCCTCAAACTGAAAGACAAGCCCTCCCTTTCTACGGTTTCTGTTGCTGGGCATTGTGTCCCAGCACCACAGAGTAACTACCACACCTGCTGAGGGCTGGCACTGCTGTCTGTCATATCTCCTCATCACATGGTAACTGAGCTGAGCTGAGCCCAGGGATAGTGCCCCAGAGTATCTAAGAATCATTTGCTTCCCTGACACGTTAGTGCATTTAGTAACACTCCAGGACAGAAAACTCATAGACATTTAGAGCAGAGAGCCTGAGGCTTATTTCCTCCAGAGTATCCAGCAGTGCCTCGCTAGGGTCCTGCCACTGGTTCCCTTGGGGGCGGTGTAGCTCATGTTTCAGCAACATCTGGACTCTAGCAGTCAAAGGGCTGACCTGGGTCTCTGTGGGTCACTGAAGAATGCCCACTAGGCTAGGGAGTAGGAGGTATGCCCCTGCAGCTGGTAGGAAGAGCATGAATATTCCAAGGCAGTTTTGAAAGCCTGACAATAAGACAGTTAGGCTTTCGGAAGCAACAGATACAGGCTTTACTATATCTCGTTTGTGGTTCTTCACTTTCAGAGTATCAGAAGCTGGAAGCCACCCCAACCAGAACTTTCTCAGGAAATGCAGGAGCCAGCTCCTGAAACTTTCATCCTTGCTGTCTTCCACAGAGGCCTCTAAAACACAAATAGGTGGACCCTATGGGTCACTCGCTGAGGGAAAAATTCATTCAGCACCAAGTATCCCCTAATGCCTAGGGACCAGTCATTTGCACTAAAAGGGTAGGTATATAGCCAGCTACGGCAAGTGGTCTAGAGTTCCAGCCAACATACAAGGGAGGCTCACTAAGATATGTCAAGCCTTCTAGCTACCTGGTATTCCTCTCTCTCCCTTCCAGCTCAAAGGGGTCCGGGGAGGGAATGACCTGTGTCCCTGACAAGTCTAACAGGTGTCACAGATCGGGAACAAAACAGTCTTGTTGCAATAGGATCAGGCAGCTAGCTCACCAGATGGATTTACACCAACTTCCTGTTCCACATTTCCCTTTTCCTGGGATGGGGAAGAGGAACACAGCAATGGGAGGAGTCAGAGTTGGTACAGATGGGGACACTGAAGCCTGGGTCCCAGAAATTTGGGGGAGCACCCATTCCCTGATTATGCCAGGTTTGCTACCGCTCAGCACCACACAGAGCTCCTTGGCCTACCAGGATGACAGCTAAACCTAGCAGTTCTGGATTGAACTGGTCTCTGGGTCCCCTTGTCCTATAGCCCCCCATCTATACCCTGCAATGGCCATGGTATCTCAAGAGAACCCATGATGGTGATACTCTGGTTGAGACTTCAGATCTCCTTACCTCCCAGCCTGGGAGGCTAGTTGCATCTTCCCTGGAGGACCTCACCTGCCCTTCCTCAAGACAAGATGCCAATCTCCTTGGAGACAGCATCACTCCATCCTCCCATTTCCCTTGTGGTCATGGCCTTCAAGGAGAATCAAGCAGGCAGAATATGAGCACCAGGGCCCTCAGAACACCTCATGCCTCCTGTTCTCACACTTGGGGTGTTATAGTCTTTTGTTTTTCCAGAGATGTCCTAAGCTGTGATAAATTGGTAAGTTCTCCTCAAGGGGACTCGATCTAACCCCTGGGACTCTTGCAGCTGTGATCGGTGAGTCACAGCCTAACTTTTCCAGGGAAGACTCCCATATGAGGGGAAACTCAGTGTAAGATACTGCTGATATCTGCATAAGTAGCCGCCTAGGGCCTGAGAATACAGCTCAGGAGTAAAGCACTTGCCTAGCATGTGTGTGGCCCTAGGTTCTTGGGTCTAGGACATCAAGGAGACTCTAATCCCTGATGGGTGTCCTGGTTACCACTACCTACCTCACTGAGCTATGAACATTGAACAACATTCTAAAATCACTTAAATGTACTGCTACAAAAGAGTTGCTTGGGTAGCTACTATGGAGAATTAGCCAATGGTTGGAAGGGGTGGGGTTTAGGGTGTTAAGGTTCTGCTTTGAGCTTTGCCAGAGACACAAGAGAATTCTCTAGAAGATTTTTCTTTGTTCATTTTTGTCTTTTGGTTAGTTGGTTATGCTGTATTTTCTTTTGTTGTGACAGGGTCTTCATATGTAGCCCTGCCTAGCCTGGAACTCGTTTTGTAGACCAGACTGGCCTCAAACGCACAGAGATCTACTTCCGAGTGCTGGGATTAAAGGCGTGTGCCACCATGCCTGCTTTCTCCAGAGTTCTTTGGCTCACACATCATCTTATTAACACAGGTACTTGACTATGAGGAGCTGAGCCTTATTTAGGTTCACATGAGAGCATCAGTCTCCAGGACCTACTGTGGTAGTTCCTCAGCAATCTCATTCCAGAATGGTTTTCCCCACAGACTCCGGACAGTAACACACTCTCCCGCATGTTGGTGAGAAAGACTAGTTAAACATTGGAAAGAGTTATGTCCCTGCCTTATCTTCAAGTGCCATTCTTATTATATTCTTTTAAACTGCTGTTATTTTATCTTATTTACTTCTGTTTTGTTATTTTTTTAAGGGAGTGAATTTCTTTGTTTGTTTGTTTTTGAGATAGGGTTTCACTGTGTAGCTTGGGCTGGCCTAGAACTCATTATATATTCCAGATTGGCCCTGAACTCACAGAGATCTACCTGCTTCTATATCCCTAGTGCAAAGAACTATTTGTTTTTGAAGCAGGGCCCCACTTTACAGCCCGGCTGATGGAATTCACTGTGTAAATTAGGCTGCCTCAGGTTCCTGAGTACTAACTAGGATTACAGATGTATACCACTACACTCAGCAAAAATACCCTTGGAAGTCATTTAAACTTATGTGAAAATATTAAGTATTAATTAGATGTCTGAACAGAGGTATAGTTTTTCAAAAGAAACTATTGCTGGGCATTATTGGGTTGTATGGGGTTTAGTTGGTTTGTGTTTTTGTTATGGGGTATCATGAACTTTAGAGAAAAACAGGTTCCAATTCATTTCACTATGAGTCCAGAGGGAAGAAATCAATGGATAGGCAGCCTTGGCCTTGAGAAAGGTATCAGTCCCTCCTGGGAATCAGGTACATGGCAGCCTTAGAAGGGACCTAGAGGAACCCTGGTGGGCAAGTTGAGGGGTGGGAATCAGTTTCAACCCAACCCAGCAGCCAGGCCTTTCCTGTGAAAATGAAGATGTGTGCTATGTACAGGAACTTGTGCAGTCTAGAAGAAAAGCACTGCTGCATGAGGCTGTGATCTCTCTGGCCTTACTTGTGGGTACAGCTGTTCATCCTCACCCTTCCCAGGCTGTGGCAGTGTGAATGTAACTGGCCCCCAGGAGCTCATGGCGACTGGCACTATTAGGGGGTGTGGCTTTTTTAGAGTGGGTATGGCCTTGTTGGAGGAAATGTGTCAGTGTCAGGGTGGGAATTGAGGTTTCCTATGCTCAAGATAATGTCTCAGTCCACTTCCTGTTGCCTACAGGATGTAGAACTCTGAGCTATCAGCACCACTGTGTACATACCGCCATGTTCTTCGTCATGATGATCATGGACTGAACCTCTGAAACTGTAAACTGCCACCCCAATTAAATGTTTGCAAGACTTGCTGTGGTCATGTTGTCTTTCCACAGCAATAAAAACCCTAGCTAAGACACAGGCCTACTCCATTATGATACATGCAGTCAAAATCTATGGATGAACACATCTCAGCTGCAACAGAGCTCAGACCAGACTCCCTGCTGCCTGCCATGCATGACTGCATACCTCTGCCCAGTCATTCCAAACTTACCAGACTTGCAGTGTGGAGCATACTCCTGCATCCCTCCCTCTTTCCATTATTGTCCATCTGGCTGAGAGGGCAAGCCCAGTTGGGAGGGAAAAGGCAGATTGTAACCTTGTTTGGGCAGCCATGATTTGCTCATTTCATGTTGCTTAGCTCTTCTTCCTCCCCTCCTCGAGGGTGCTCTGGACTGACAGACCACACAACCAAGACTGGAAATGACATCTCAGAGGCAGCCAGCTCTTCTGGGATAGACCAAGGGTGTATATACACCCCCATCCCAGTTCCAGGGGTTTGACCTTCCATGTTGCTCTCTCTCACATCTGCTTCCTGCCTGGCCTGAACCCTGACTCTGAATCCCCAGGGAGACTACATTACAAAAGGCAGGGGGAGGGAAAGAGAGCATGCAATGTTCCTTTCTTCTTAGGTTAAAGTAGGAGACTCATCTTGTCTCTTAGGGAAGGCCATTGGCTGCACATAAACTTACCTTTCTTTCTGGCAGCATAAACCAAACACCATTTCTGTGGCTGGCAAGCAAAGCCACAGATTACGGGTGGCACACAGCAAAAGCCTACACAGAGATCAGGCAGGCCTGGCCTACAGGTCACAGTTATAAAAAAAACTTGTCAGGGGTCAGGGGTGTAGAAATGCTCAGGAATATCTCCATGGGCCTCAGAATCTGCCCCGCAATCAGAGAAAAGTCTAATTTCAATCTCCCAGAGTTTGGGGTATAGATCATAGGAAATCAAGATGAGAAAGGGGGTTATTCTAGAATTTTAAGAAGGTACAGGTCTGTTGGGCAGTGGTGGCACACTCCATTAATCCAAGTGCTCAGGAGGTAGAGGCAGACAGATCTCTGTGAGTTCAAAGCCAGCCTGGTCTACAGAGCAAATTCCAGGACAGCCAAGGCTATTATACAGAGAAATCCTATCTTGAAAAACCAAACCAAAGCAAGAAAAAACAGATAGAAAGAAAGAAAGGAAGAAAGAAAGAAAGAAGAGAGCAGCACAGGTCTATTGAACATTTGGTATAATGGTTATAGGTATAACAGTAAATAAAATGGTTAAAAATTACCAACCAAGACTTTAATATGTTTTCTGTTTTATGCGGTCTTTAAAAATAATTTGGAGCCGGGCATTGGTGACACATGCCTTTAATCCCAGCACTCGGGAGGCAGAGGCAGGCGGATCTCTGAGTTCGAGGCCAGCCTGATCTACAGATCGAGTTCTAGGACAGCCTCCAAAGCCACAGAGAAACCCTGACTCAAAAAACTAAAAAAAAAAAAAAAAAAAAAAAAAAAAGATTGTATACCCATGAAAACATACAAATACAGGCTGGCAGGATAGCTCCATGGGCAAAGGCATTTGCCACCAACCCTGATGACCTGAATTCAATCCCTGGGACCACATGGAAAACTTTCGAAAGTTGTCTTCTGACTTCTACACACACACACACACACACATAATATACAAATGTGTTTCCAAATATTAAATGGAAAAATATCTACTATCCCTTGACAGGATAAAGACTAAGTGATATAGGGCCATACATACCTACACCAACTGGTGTCCCCAGCAAGGACAGCACTCATCTACCCAATTCCTCAGTACTTTCAAAGTCCCTGTCACCTGAACTTCAGGAAAAGACGGTGGCTTCTAGTCAGGAAGAAGGTGCTGGGATTAAAGGCGTGCGCCACCGACGCCCGGCTAGGAACCAACTTTTGACTAGGCGCGGTCGTCGCGCATCAGACCACTGACAGACGCCGCGACGCTGCGCCCCCCTGGTGGCCCCGTGAGACCCTCGGCGCCACCACAGAACGCCCCAACCGCTGGTCTGCGTTGCCACGGCGGAGCGAGCGCTTCTCAAAGCCGGGCTTTCGTGGAGGCTTCCAGCCAATCCGAGAGCTCCGTCCAGCCAATCCGCCCACGCGTACCGCAGAGGGCGGGGCGTCGCGTCAGTGGCACTGCGCGTGCGCGCGCTGAGGTGGGCGGGTTTTCCTCGGCAAGATGGCGGCCAGCGGCTTGCGGCAGGCTGCCGCCGCAGCCAGCACCTCGGTGAAGCCCATTTTCAGTCGCGACCTGAACGAGGCCAAGCGGAGGGTGCGCGAGCTCTACCGCGCTTGGTACCGGGAGGTGCCGAACACTGGTGAGAGGCAGAGGTGCATCCGGGGCCCCGAGGCCCCTGCCCAAGGTCTCACGGCCGAGCTGAGGTCACCGGCTAGGGCAGAAACGACTCCTGGGCTTCGGGGGAAGAGGGTCACACGAGGCAGAAGTACCCCACACCGGGACAGGGCTTCCGAGCGACCTCCTGGCTTTGGTGACATTTGTTTCTGTATTTCTTACCAAGCCCCTAGGAGGGGAGAGCAGGGACAGCCATTCTTGCTTGTAGCTGAGGACACCGAGAGGCGGATTGACGCTAGCCCCGGGAGCTGCTAACCCAGGGTCAGCTTCCAGTTAGAAAATGTTCCAGATGCCTGTTGGGTTTTGTAACCAAACTGGCGAAGGACTTGCAGTTATCCATTCCCCGTTCTGGAAAACAAACGGCCATAGGAGGGAAACGACTTGGCAAGGTCATCAGTAGCTTCCTGGTGCCTTTTGAAGGCTCCAGGTGAAATGGCCTCTCCAGTCTCCGTAGCTTTGCTGTCTAACTCGGCCTGCTCTAGTATGCTGAAGTCTAATTCCTGTGCAGCACAACTGCTCTTTACCCTTAGATGGCGGAGAAACTAGTCAGATTGTTGCCTTGGCATCTCTCTCAGGGCTGCCACTGGGCGGGATTTTAAAAGGGGTGAAGGAGAGTCACGAAGACAGACATCTCGTTTCTATCTAACTTGGACCACCGCAGCTGATGGGAAGGGAAAGGCATTCCCAGTGGGTGGCAGACAGCACCCTGGCCCACCTCAGAGCTGTTGAGAGGCAGCAGCGCTTTCCTCAGGTCCTGTCCTTTGTTAGCCGTGTGACCTTGGGTAAGATTCCCATTTGTGCTGTTTGCTCATCTGTGAAATGAGCATAATACTGTCTTCAGGGAGTTACTGTATTAAATAGGTTACTATAGTAACTGACCTGAAACTTGGGGAAGGCGCTGATGAGGGGCGGGGCAGGGCGGGGCGGGGCGGCAATTCCTAATAGTTCTTAGAACAGACGGGAGTGAAACACCAAAAACACTCTCAGGCCCGTTTACCTGAGAGCAGCTATACAACATTGAGTGCCTCGGTGTCTCTAGGCCTGATGCTTCACAGATTGTAAGATTCTAAATTCCAGGTTCTGTATTACTGTATATTTGTTTAGGGTCTTTGCTATCTTACAGTCCGTTTGTTCTTTTCTGAAACCCCTATGCATATACTGACGAGATCTCTGAGCACCTAAACTTGTAGTGTTTACCATTTCTGTGGTCACTCAATTCAACCTTGATTTAAGCAGAGCATGTCCCTAATTAATGGTTTCCAGAGATGATTATGATGCTTTGAGGGGTTACTATTTTTTGTGACTTTTTGTTGTTGTTTTTTCTGAGACAGGGTTTCACTTAGTAGCCTTGGCTGGCCTGGAACTTGCTAATGTAGACCGGGCCAGCCTTAAGCTCACAGAGACCCATCTGCCTGTGTGCCGCCACACTGGCCTTGTTTTCATTTTCATTAGGATTCTGCCTCAAACCTTTGATCCGTCAGCCTGAGTTCCAGTGCTGGGATTACAGGCATGTGCCACCATTGCTGGTGGCTGAGGTAGCTCTGTGGATCAGGGTGGACATGTCACAAGAATGGGCAAAGCACAAGGCACCCTCAGTTAACTCAATAGACTGATCTCCTTAGCCATGATGTCTGTAAACCCTTGATGCTGTTTCTTAGCCTTGTATGCCTCGCTCACCCTGCCCTTCCATCTAATACTTACCAATCCTGTTGTATTCTTGATGACATCAGCAAATCTGCTAACGACTGCATGTCGGGGGATGAAAGTGGCTAAAACCTGATTTTCTTTCTTTTGAGTCAAGATCTGTGTATCTCTGGAACCAAATGGGCCTAGGCTAACCTCCAACTGGCAGGCTGGGTTTACAGGCATTGTTACCACTCAGTAAGTCCAGTTTACAAACTATTTTCCAAAGGACACCCACGTGGCACAGTATGTTCAGTCACTGAGTTTCTGCTGCTGTTTTGGGCACTGACAAAATGGGTTGCTAAGTATTGTGATAAATTTTATGTAAGTTTCTATATCTGTGTGCATGGGTACAGGTAAATGCAAGTGTTGGCAGAGGCCACAGGCATGGATTCCCTGAAGCTGGAGTTGCAGGTGTTTTTGCATTGCCTGGCATGGGTGCTGGGAATTAGAAATCAGGTTCTCTGGAAAAGCCGTATGTGCTCTTAACAGCTGGGTCACCTCTCCAGGCCACCACCCCGAACCCCTTTTTAAGGGAAGATATGTTTATTTTGCCATTTCAAACCACTATGAAGAGGGGTTGGCTCATGGCTCCATGATGGCAGCAGTTATGGCAGAGCTGACTATCTCATTTATAGTCATAGATGACCATCTCAAGTCTCTCCTTCCAGATAGTCCAATTATTTGATTAAAACCTTCCCTCCCCGGGGCTGGAGAGATGGCTCAGAGGTTAAGAGCACTGACTGCTCTTCCAGAGGTCATGAGTTCAATTCCCAGCAACCACATGGTGGGTCACAACCATCTGTAATGAGATCTGGTACCCTCTTCTGATGTGTACATGGAGGCAGGGTGTTGTATTCGTAATAAATAAATAAATCTTTAAAAAAAAAAACCCTTCCCTCCCCACACAGACCCTTAGCAATACCCCTTGGCTCTCAAATTCATGTACTACTTAAAACCTACACTACATTGTTTTACATTAATTTCAATCCTGGCATCTTATTTTGCTGGTTATTACAAATAAAAATAATACAGTAGGGGCATTTCTCAGTGATAGGGCCCTTGCCTTACATGGGAAAGGCCCTAGGTTCTGTCCCAATCCCCTCCCATACATACAAAAAGCATACAGGCACACCTGTACTCCCAGCTTCTCCAGAGGCTGAGTAAACAGCATTGAGCTCCAGACTGAATGATTTAGCATGACTTCCAGGCTGAGGGTTGGGCTGTCTGGGAGCCACTTGTACATGTTCAATGAGCATCCACTGATAAGCATTTAAAAACATGGTTAAACGGTCTAATTTCTACAGAGTCATCATTTTTTCTTTTTAGTGCACTTATTTCAGCTGGACATCACCGTGAAACAGGGACGGGATAAAGTCCGAGAAATGTTCATGAAGAATGCTCATGTCACAGACCCCAGAGTTGTTGATCTCCTGGTCATTAAGGTAACTGACCCTCTCTGATGAACTTAAAGATCCACCAACTTGTCTCATGCTTCTGAGTCTTCAAGTGAATACTACCTCCATTAAAAAACAGCTGCTACTGGACTGTGATGGCACACACCTTTAATCCTAGCACTCAGGAGGCAGAAGCAGCCATCTCTGAGTTCGGGACCAGCCTGGTCTACAGAGTGAGTTCCAGGACAGCCAAGGCTACACAGAGAAACCCTGTCTCCAAAAAAAAAAAAAGAAAGAAAGAAAGCTGCCGACTTAGCAGCTGTTGCTGGTTCCTAGTTCAACTGGAGGTTACCATTTCTTTTGTTTTAAGCCAGGGCCTTACTATGTAGCTCTGGCTGGCCCTGAGATCCGCCTGCCTCTGCCTCCCAAGTGCCAGAACTAAAAGCATGGGGATCTCCACCTTTGAGATTCACATTATGTAGCCTGGGCTAGAATCAGCCTCTTGCCTCAGCCCCCAAATAAGTTTGTGAGATTGTTGGAGGGGAAATCCACCTGGGCCTTGCATTTTTGTGACTTTAACAATGGGAAGCAGGAAGGATGCCACCCCAACAAGTCACTGTCTCACCTATATGACAAACACCAGAAGAAGAAGGCAGGATGGCTTTGGGTATGGTACAAATGAGGTCAGATTGTGACCAGTCTATTCCATCAGTAGCTTCATGGCAGACCAGTTAATACCACAGAACTGTTACATAGAAACACAAAGTTAAACCAATTGTGTTGCACAGTCCTGGGGCCCTGGAGTCTTCTCTTGGAACCTGTTAATTACCAATGTTTGAAAGGCCTCAGGTCACTGAGTCCCACTGCCCTCCAAATGCAGAAACTTGCCTTAGAAGAGTTACTCACCCAAAGTCATCATAACAAGTCCACTGAGCTCCAGTGCTGTGCTCTTTTTGGTGACTTCACCTGACTACCTTCCCTTCACATGCACAGGGGAAGATGGAGCTCCAGGAAACTATCCACGTGTGGAAGCAGCGGACACACATCATGCGGTTCTTCCATGAAACAGAACCGCAGAGGCCAAAGGACTTCCTGTCCAAGTTCTATGTTGGCCATGACCCATGAGGTCACCCGATGGGAAGGTGCATATTAATATTTATTTTAGAGTACAAATAAACTCATTATTTGATGATTGCTTTGTGATAAACTGGTGAACCCATTTCCTGTGGTCTCTCACTTCTTGCCTAAGTCTGTGGGGCCTTAGTGTACATGCCATGTTTATTCCCTTTTCCTGGAATATGGTGCTTCCTGTCATCTGTATCAGATTCTTACCTGGGGAAGCAGGAAGGGAAAAGGCTTCTTACCTGTCCAGAATCTGTCATATGAAGCTGGGTAACTTTTATAATTGTACTAAGTATGTACTTACTTATGGTGTTGTAGTTGTACTTCCAAGATTGGGCATCTTGGTGTCAGGGAGCAGAGCCACTCTATGGGCACAGCAGTAGGACAATGATCTGTTTTCCCCTAGAAAATGGCTGGTCCAAGGCCTAGATCTCCTACATAGCAGCACTGGTCTTTAAAATGAAATTAACTCCCTACTCATTGTGCAGGGACACAACTATTTCAATGCAGAGAACAGAATCATCCTACTACTTTGGGGCTTTTTTTCTTCAAACAGGATCTCATATATCCAAGGATAGCCTCATACTCACTCTACCGATGTTCTTGCTTCTACCTCCTTCCCTGTACAGTCCTGAATGCTGGAAAAAGGTACTCAGTCTTTACATATAATTACTGAGTAACCTCACATCAGAGATTCCCCCCCAGGAGCCCAAGTTTTACAAAATATTTAACTATTAAGCAGTAACAAGACCCAAATGTTTAGCACATGGCAACTCCTCCAGGCTTAAGGCTTCAATTAGCCTAAGTGGCTTTGAGGTAAGTTTCTGCCGGACTTCTATAAAGTTAAAAAAAAATTTAGTCTCATGATGAGAGATGGACATAATTTCAGTGGTTAAGAGCACTGCTGCTCTTGCAGAGAACCAGATTTGGTTCCCAACACCCACATGAGGCAACTCATAATCATCTATAACTCCAGCTCCAAGAGGGTCATATGCCTTTGGCCTTCAAGATCACCCGCAAACAGATACACAGTTAGAAATAATTAGAAGAGAAAGTTCTCAGTCCCCCTTGGCGATGTCTGTGGTTGTGTAACAGCCTGGATGTCCTGGCTCCTAATAAGATGCTTCTTGGCTACAGAAGGGAGGACAGTGCAGCTGAGCCTGCTGGGAGTGAGACATGGGAGCAGCCTTTCAGTCATACACAGTTCATATTTATTATGTTACTCATCCTTTGCTTGGTATCCCAGTGCTCTGGATAGCACGTTTGAGGGACCCTCCCAAGGCGCAGGATTCTGGGATGTACAAGGCTGAGGGCTCCCCTGACCCTTCTGCCAATAGGGAAGGAGCTGAGCGTGCCACCACTTTGTCATTAGTGCTTCCTCCTTTCTGTCCTTCCTCCAGGACCTGTAAGAGAGGCAAACAGCAGTCACTTTTTTTTTAAAGACACGGTCTCATGTAGCCCAGAGCAGTCTTCAAACCCAATGCAGCCAACGATGATCTTGAACGTGTTCCTGCCTCGACCTCCCCAATGCTGGGATTATTGATGTGCACCACTAGGCCTGGGGCATTGCGTTTCTGCTTTCTGAGAGAAGGTCTCCTGTTCCAGGCTGTCCTTGAGCTCTGCCTCTGCTTCTTGGGTACACAAAAGGCTCACGATACCATAGCAGGCTTTAGCAGTAATCACTTTCAAATAGGAGGTAGAGGGAGATGTAGCAAAGACAGTGGAGAATGGGTGGCGTTAAGACGGTAGTAAAGAACAATGGGCCAATACTTGGAGATGGGTAAGAATGAGGATAACTCAAGCAATGAGACTCCAGGGCTGGAGACATTGCTCAGATGATCAGAGCACATACTGACCTGGCAGAAATTGCTCACAGCTACCTGTAACTCCAGCTCCAAAGGACCTTAGTTTCCTGGCCTCTATGAGTACTGTATTCGTACACATAGGTACATAATTAGGGTTAAAATATTAGTAATAAGATAAAATGATGACTCCTGTAGAGAGTCCACTCTGGCATGGCCACAGAAGACTTGGCCCTCTCAAGGTTACTTCCTCCTATGGTTGGGAATACGGAAGATAAAAAAGGCCTAAGCGGAATGACCAGATCACAAGAATGCCAAGCAGAGAGTGGGAGTGTCCTTGCCTGTGACAGTCTAGTCACAAAACATACATTACAACTCAGGAAATCAACACAGGAAAGCTGAATGGGAAGATCACTGGGAGCCCTGCAGCAAAGGTTTGTGAGCAGGATACTGGCTCAGATGGTGCACAGTTTAATAAGAGCAGCAGTAACAGCACACACACCTTTAATCTTAGCACTCAGGAAGCAGAGGCAGGCGGATATCTGTGAGTCTGAAACCAACCTGGTCTATTTAGAAAGTTCTAGGACAGCTACATAGTGAGCTACCTCGAACAAACAAAAACAAACCCGACAGCAGTGAGGATATGCTAGTTGCCTTTTAAAAAATTGCTTCTATTTATATGTGTATTTGCCATGTGTGTGGGTGCCCACAGAAGCTAGAAGACATTGGATTCCCCTGGAGCCTTAGTTACAGGTGGTTGTGAGCTGCCCAAAGTGAGTGTTGGGAATAGAACCCCAGTCCTCTATAAAGGCTAACAGCTGAGCCATCTCTCCCACCCCCCTTGCCAGTTTCTAAATTTCAGTATGAAGCTGTTGACCTCACTAACCTGGTCAAGAACCCTGGATGCCAAGACCTGACTTCAGTGTCAGCCTCAGACACCAATTTCACAGGTCTGTCCTGATTCATTTGTAAAAATCCTTCTGCAAGATTCCCTACAGACTTCTCAGGACTGAAGGTCCCGCTCTGCATCCCCCACCCTTTCCCCATTTCCCTTGTCACTTGTAAATTACTTCTACATCCCCATGATTCCCTGTTTTACCCATTCAGAGATTGCATGACTTGTATAAAGTGTAAAGCAGCTGGACAATGGTGGCACACACCTTTAATCCTCGCACTGGAGAGGCAGAGGCAGGTGGATCTCTGTGAGTTCAAGGCCAGCCTGGTCTACAAAGCTACACAGAGAAACCCTGTCTGGAAAAACCAAAAGAAAAAAAAAGTGTCGAGCACATGAAATCATCAAGAAAATGCCAGCTGACTGAATGAAGGTAGGTCAAGGCCAACTGACAGGCCAGCTAGGATCTTAATCTGGTTGTAAGAGATATCAGTGAAAATGTCGGGCAAGTTACCCCATCAAATAGGAGAAAGACAAGAAGCCTCAAGTAGGTGAACTCACTGAGTCTTCTGCCCTGAGTGTCCAAATGCTGCTGCAGACCAGGCTGCATCACGGATCAAATGCTCCACCCTACTTCTAGTCCCTGTCCAATTAGAGGAAAGGCAAGTCTTACCTGTTAATCGTCATCGTCGTCATCCTCTGGAACAAAAATGTCATGCTCCTCAAGCAGAGCAGCAAAGTTCTTGCTAATGAGTGTGCCAACATAGAGAAAGGGGATCACAATGGAGAACACACGGAGAAGACCAAAGGACATCTGCAGAGAGAGAGAGGTGCTGTGAGCACTGAGACCAGGGGCTGCATCTCAAGCACTGGCCTCGGGCATTTCCTCCAATGACCTCAGATCCAGACACCAACTGATTTTTAAAGGCTTTGGGAAACCTCACAGCAACAAAGAGACAAAGTGAGTTTGGTGGCCATCAAAATAGATACCAGAAAGAAAAGTATAAAGCTAAACTAAATTTGGGGAAATACACAACCAAAAATTGGGGCACAACCAGCTAATCCCTTGCAAAAACCATCAACAACTGGGTGAATGCACTAGGATGGTTAGACTACGATCAGCTCTACACACATGAGCGTGAGTTTCAGGGGCTACAGAGACGGCTCAGTGGGTAAGAACACTGGCTCTTCTTCCGGAGACCTAGGTTTAAGTCTCAGCCCCCACAGGAATTCTCAAAAGGAAGTAGCTTCAGTTCCATCGCACACCATACCCTCTTCTGGTCTCTGTGGGCACCTGGAACTTAAGTGCTGCACAGACCTACATGCAGGTAAAACACCCATACACATAAAAAATGAGTTAAAAGCAGTGTGCAGTGAAGGGCTTTTCCATGCAGTTCTTTTTATGTAACTGGCTCCTGCTGCCTGAGAAACGACATCACATTAAAACCATGAAAAGACAGTCTGAGCTCGAGGGAGGCTCACTAGTACTTGTTCTCTGGTTTCCCTAGCTGTGTTTTCATAAAGCAACCGCACCTTCTGCTTCTTGCTGTGAACTGCGTGCGGCCAGCCGTTAGTGCATGTCAGACTTACTAAAAGACTTCATTTTCCGTCTACACAGCCCTGCACTCAAACACCGCACCTTTTCCTTAGAGGCACTGAGGTCAAGTGACAGCGCTCAGTGTTGGGAAAATCAGGTCGTGGTCCCTGGTTGTCAAGACCTAACTCTTATTACCAGCTTCGGACGCCGGCTCTGCCCTGATTCATCTGTAAAACCCCTTCTGCAAGATTCCCTGCTCACTTCTCAGGATAAAGGGACCCGCTCCGCGTCCTCCATCCTTTCTCATTTCCTTTTTTACTAAGTATATTACTTCCGCGTTCCCGTCTCGCTTCTTCAGGGTTGTTTTAACCCATCACCTGAGTCAGAAGCTGAATGACTTGTATACATCGACACAAAGCTCTTCTTCTGGCCCTAGAGGATGGGTCATTGCGTCCCTCAAGATAAGACAGTGCACGTTCCGGGGCTGCCTTCCAGCTTGTGTCCAGGAACCCAGTTTAACACTAGGTTTTCTGCAAGCATTTTCCTCCACCTGTCAAAGTCAATAACCCAACGGCGCAAATCGGGTTCGAGGTCCACAATCCCTATCCTGTGATTGGCCTCTGCGCCTGTCAATCAGCACGGTCGCACGCTCTCCCCCAGTGACTGGCCTGGATCCCTTCGCCCCGCCTCTAGTCAGACACTCACTTTCACCGGCTTGGGCAAAATGGCACCGCTGCGAGTGACGATGACTGACCTCGACGGTACCAGGCTGCGACCTGAGCTGCCCGGTACGACGGAGAAATCGCCACCTCTCTTCCCCCCCGGCCCGCTCCAGAGAGCCCCTTGTCGGACTGCTATCCGGGCCAGCCGGCCAGCCGCCGCGGACGCCATCTCCAGCTCCGCCCCTTGCAGGGATCCACACCCCGCACGTCCAGCGCGGCCCTCTCACAGAAAAACCGCCCCAAGCCTCGCGAGACTCTCGACGTACACGCCTGCGCAGTGCCCGCGTTGCTGATGGAGCGGGGAAGCCCTCTGCGCAGTTCGATGGTGGTGACGTCAGGAGGACAACGACGCCCCTCCCGGGTCCGAGGGGCGGAGCCTTCTGTCCGGGGCGCCTTCTGTAAAGGTGTTGTGACCTTCACCTCTCAAAGACTTGATTTAATTAAGGAACCGAAGTGTATAATGAAAAGCTTTATTTGATATTTAAATTTATAAAAAAAAAACCCTGTAACAACAGGAAGTTAACAAGAGCCCATAGTGTCGGTGAACGTTCGAAAAACAGGTGCAGGGGGCCCCAAGGAGTGGAACTGGCCTGGTGGGGGTTGTGGTTCCCGGACTCACCCAGCTGCTAGCCTCGGACACCGGCTTCTCAGCTGTAACCCCTGACTCTTCATTTGTAAACACCGATTATAATAACCAAAATGAATAAATTTCCTGAGAGGCTCTCGCGTGTAGCCCAGTCTAGTCAAAAACGCACTGTGTAGTCAAGGAAGCCCTTGGATTCCTGGCCCTCCTCTACCTCCTTGCTACCACACCCTGCAAACTTTACTGTCCTCGTTATAAGGAAGAGCAAAACAAAACGGAAGCCAGATGTGCACGTGCAAGGGACTGAGCTGGCAGACCTTCCCACCAGGTCCTGCTATAAAACAACAAAAACAAGTGTGGCGTAATGGATCACATCTGCAATCCCAGCACTTGCAAAAACTAAGAATGAGTTCCAGGTCTGTGTGGGCTACAAAGTGAGGCCTCGTCTCCAAAACCAAATTAAAAATGCACACTAACTTCCGTAGCAAGAGCTAGCAAGGGCGCAGGACCCGTGTGTACTATCGAGGGCTGCTGGCTACGATGCTACAAGCAGGCCTGAAGAACAGGCTGGCATCACAGGAACTGGCCCTAGCCAAGGAAGGAGACCAGGAAACTCAGCTTCTTGGAGGCCAAAGTTTGCCCTTTAGGCCTGGATGGACTTTGGTCAGGCTGCCCCAAGGCCCCAGACAGGCCAAGAAGGGATGTCAGGAAGAGGCAGATTGTGTTTGGGAAGGGGGTATGGCTCTGTCAAGCAAGCCCAGCATTGTCCCAGTCACCGACCCTGCACCTATATAAAGGGGACAGACGAGTCTGACTCCTGGCTCTGGTGACCCAGCCTCTTAGAATAACAGGAAATGAGACTTGGCATGATGCAGGAGAAAGAAGCCATAAGGATTCTTGACAGACAAGCCCTGGGAAACAAGCGGTAGGTGACAGGGTCCCCAGGAGTGACCATGGAGTACAGATCAGGAAGGGTTGCTCCTATAAAGGCTGTCTGCCTTTCCCAGGGCAATGTCCAGCACCACGCATTGACAAGGTGGCGGGGAAGAGAAGAAATCCCCCCTAGCACCTGAAGACCCTCTCCTGCAGAGAGCCCTGCCCAAACCATGGCCGGGTCAGTGCTCAAGGCACTTCCCCTGTCACCTCTGGCATTTAGATGTCCAAGACTTGATTGCTAGAAACTGTGGCCGGAGACTGCCCTGAAAGGGTGGAGGAGCACAGCCCTCTTCCTGCGTTACGTTCTGTTCCCATCAGCCACCTGGCCTTTCTAGGCCTTAGAAAATAAGTTGGAAGTCATGATTCCTCAGTTCACTCCAGGCAGATGGGAGGACTGGAAGTTAGAGAACGTCTACAGAGCAGGAGGGACACACACACACACACACACACACACACACACACACACACACACACACACAGCAAGCACGCGCGCACACACACACACACACACACACACACGCACGTGTGCACTCATGCACACGCGCTCACACCGACCAACCGATCTGGGAAATGAGTAAACATTTAACCCCTGAAGTACTGAGCCAGGCATCCCAACCAGCAGGGCAGGACCACAGCTCAAAGGGCCCCGGCTCAGGGCCTATTCTATTGCTTGCTCTCTGGCTGGCTCCCCTTGGCCCTTTGCTGCCATCCCCGCCTCAGCTCCATGATCTCTTTCCCATACCAGTCATGCAAGGTAGAGAAACAGGAGGTCTCAGGGGACACGGGGCTCTGGCCCCTGCTTAGGAGGAGGCTGGCAGGGCCCTGCAGCCCCCACTCAGTCAAATCCCGACCTATTGGCCTGCTCCCCCTTTCTTCCACAGAACCACTGGAGTTTCGGTCCCTGGGGAAAAGGTGGCCATTCTCAGGTCCTGGAGCCCGTCGGTCAGGAGCCTGAGGCTTACTGCAGCCAGGGACAGACTTCTGGGACACACAGCGATGCAAGGCCAGGCTCTGACGGGCATCCTGCAGCTGGCTCTCCAGTTCTCGTACCACAAGTCGCATGTAGCCAAAGCTGGCTCGGGACAGTGCCTTCACCCAGGCCTCCTGGGCCACTTGCCCATCTGCTGCCAGCAGGTGCGGACGCACTCCAGGGGCATCAAAGCGAATGGCGAAGGCAAACTCCTCAGGCACAGGAGCCTCGGCCAGCTCCACCGTGCAGCCCTCCAGTACCACCAGGCTCAGAGGGGCCCGGCTTTCTTTACTCTCGAAAGAGAACAGCAGGTTGCCCTTGAGAACAAACCAGTACCTTCGGCCAGCGCCACTGGGAGTAGGTGGGGTCCCCGGTCCTCCCCACGTACGAAGGAAGCCAGTGTGGTCCGCTGGAGAATCACTCAGAGCGTAGTGGGCCACACTCCTCTTGTTCAGCTTCATGGCTCCCACAGGAAAGCTGAGCCAGAGAGGCTGTAGCACCTGGAGGAAAGGACCCAGGCTCAGAAGACCTGCAGCCCCGTCGTGTGGCTCCCATTAACTGTGTCCCAGAAGCTCTCAGACTTCATCTGTGATGGAGATCGACTAGTCTTCTTTGCTGGTCATCTCAAAGGTCATGTAAGGGTCTCTCTCTCACACACACACACACACACACACACAAACCCACTGGATATCAAAAATCTGTAACAGAAAAGACAATACTTGTGTCAGAAGAATAGACATTTAGCCGGGCCATTATGTGCACGCCTTTAATCCCAGCACTTAAGTCAGAGGCAAGTGGATCTCTGCGAGTTCCAGATCAACCTGGTCTATAGAGTGAGTTCCAGGACAGCCTCCAAAAGGCTACACAGAGAAACCCTGTCTTGAAAAAACAAAAAATCACTCAGGAAGCAGAGGCAGGCAGATCTCTATGAGTTTGAGGCCAGCCTGGTCTACAGAGTGAGTTCCAGGACAGCTAAGGCTGTTACATGAAGAAATCCTGTCTCAAAAAAAACCAAAAAGAATGGCAGGACATTCACTTGGTTTTTTTTGTTTGTTTGTTTGAAGCCCAGGCTGCTCCCTAACTATGTATCCAAGAACTTTCTTGAGCTGATCCTACTGTCCTCTCTGCCTCCCCAGTCCTGGGACTGCAGGCCTGCAGCCATGCTCAGGATCCCATGGTCTTCCTGGGCCCCTACCAGCCTCTCAGTGGTGGCCAGCCCACCTTAACTAGAACCTGTGATTTCAGAGCCAGATGGAGGCAAGGGAAGGGCCAGCCAGTGAGGGGCCAAAGGGGACCTGCCATGTAAGCTCCAGTGGCACTGTGAGCTCTGAAACATACCCACCAAATTGTGGCGCTCCAAGGCTCCTATAGGGCAGCTGAACCGGCAAGGATCATATCAAGAAGGAGAAGCAGCACATGGTCTCACACATTCTAGGTAGGGCCTTGTTGGTGACACACTTATCAGAAGAGCCTGCAGAGCGGGCAGAGTGGCCTCTCATCTAACCACACAGCACAGACACATGGTTCCCAGGAAGCCTGCAAAACAGTTCTCAAAGAATGTGAGAATTGCTGTTCTAACTTTAGGGCCAGTGAAAGGGCAGCCTCTTGCAGGAAGGTCTGCCTCTCCTGTTTCAATGCCCCACTCATCCCCCAGGGCAACTGAACCTCCCTCCGTGTCTCAGCACAGTGTCTCTTGACTATAACCATGGGCCCATGAAGCTAGCTAGGTAGTTCAGGTAAGGGCCAGTCAAGGCTTTCCCTTCTAACCCTTGTTAACAGAGTATCTCAGAAACCTGTCCTGATCACTGCTGTACCCAAAGTGGTTTGTTCTAAGGTCAATTGGCCAGCAGTCCTCTATTTCTGACTATGTCCCTTTTGTCCCCCCTCCCATTTGTCACTGTCCCCATCTGCAGGATGCCTAGGGTGGCTTAAGCTTGATTGCCCAGTAACCTCCAATAATCAGCCCTGCGGAAGACGTGCTGAATTCGTGGAAAAACATCGGTGAACAAAACTAGCTCCCTATTCTCCTGAAATCTACTTTGCAGCAAGAGAGACACGCAGTAAGCAAATACAATTAAATAAATAATGAACTAATCAAATAGTGAGTGATGAAATGGGAGCCAGTATGCGGGAGGGGAAGAGAAAGGCTCCAAAGAGAAGGAAGCGGGCCCCGAATAGAGGAAGACAGTCCTAGCCACAGCCCTTCGTGGGCCCCACCGAGGGGCCGAGCCCTCGAGAGCCTGGAGTTGAGGCCTCTCCCTGGGGCGGCCCTGCGGGTGCCTGGATCCCGCCGGAGCTCTCCAGCCACGTCCACAGCCACGCCCTCCAGGTCACCTCCTCCCGGAGCCCGCCCGGCCGGCACTCACCTCCAGAACTCGAGCCTGGCTCGGTCTGGTGTGATGCGATCGACCCCCTGCTCCGGATTCCGCGCCTCCGCCAGGGCCGCGAACGTGGCCGCGGGAGTCGGGAGACCCCGCCCGAGAGGCTCGTGTTACCGCCCCGGCCTCTCCCCGCCCAGTACCCACCAGGCCTCGGGATCTGCAAAGTCGCCTCGGCACGCACACCGGAGGGAAACTGAGGCCCTGGAGGGTGGGGACCCAACTGAGCTGCAGTACTTGATGAAGGATGGCCTCGAACCCTGATTCCCCACCTCAGGCTACTCACAGACCTCCAGCTCACCACCGAAGGAGAATTCGGATGTTCTTTTTCCCCATTATCGCCCAGCCAGTCCCACCCCACCCGGCAGAGCCAGGCCGGGCAAGCCATTGGATAAGGCGCTTCCTAGGGCGAACTCCTACAGAGCCTGCAAAACCTTTCAAGCTTCTCAACCAAGTCCTTGGGTCATCCCCATCTCTGCCTCTAGAAATTAGCCGTGACGGCTTCTATCACAAGCCAGTGCGGGTCTGCAGTCCGCTTGTGATCCCGAGGCTCTACCTGGAGTCTGTCCATCCAAAGGCTTGCAGGGAAGACTTGCAAGAAAGCAGTAAGGAGGGATTCCCAGGAGCCCTGAAGGCAAACGCATTCAAAGGCCTGCCCCAGAGTTTGTGGGTTCCCACCTCAACCTCTGCTTTGCAGTTTCTGAAGCCCAGAGGGCCCTCCCGTCTCACCCTACCCCCACCACTAGCCTCAGAGCTCCTTGACATTTAGGTCTCAGCGGTGAGGTCCCCTCCCTGACCTCACAATGTAGAGAAAGAGAACCATACCCTACACCCTGCTTTGATGGCTGGAATTTTTTTACCGGGGTGCAGTGTGTGTTGTTGTTGTTGTTGTTAACTAACTTTTCTTCAATAATAATAGAGTGAATATCTTACGGGGTGAAGATCGCCTGGGGAAATAGAGCATGGGTTTCTGAGGGTGGGGAGCTTGGGGTTTAAATAGAATAGTAGAACAGACCTCACTTTGACAAATAATTAAGGGAAATGTGGGTATCAGCATTCTAGGCAGAGAGAAGAGCTAGTCCAAAGGCCAGCCGAGGGCTGCTGTGTTTGAAGAGTCACGAGGAAGGCGACAACAGCAGGGAATGGGGCCAACAGGTAGAGGGTGCGGCTTAGGAAAGCCATTTCTCCAAACTGAGCTTAGGAAAGCCATTTCTCCAAACTGAGCTTAGGAAAGCCATTTCTCCAAACAAGTAGACAAACATGAGCTTGAGAGAGGAGTGACCAGGGCTGGGTTGGTTGGGTTCTCTGTAGGTTATTTTATGTGTATGAGTGTTTTGCCTGCATGTATGTACGGGTGCACCGTGTGCATGCCTGGTGACCTCAGAGTTCAGAAGAGGGTGTCAGATCCCCTGGAACTGGAGTAGGGATGGTTGTGAGCCACCATGTGAGTCTAGACACCCAACCCCTGTCCTCTGCAAGAGCAACCAGTGTCCTTAATCACTGAGCCATCTCTCCAGCCCACAGAGTTGGGTTTTCACGGTTTTTCTTGACTGCTGTGGAGAAAGTAACCTCAGATGGAAGCAGGAGGTCATTGGGGGTTCTGTGAATCATCCAGAGCCCAGCCTTGTAGTGTGAGATGAGGGTGAAGTTTGAAAGTTGAGACCACAGGGTTTTGGGGAAAAGAGAAGGTAGAATGTACTGGGCATTGGGCTGTGGCATAGAGAAGTAAGTTTGCATTATCTGAGATGTGGAAGATGGCACTAACCCGTTCGGGGCCGGTTATGATTACTATCAGTGCAAAGACGTCCAGAAATAGCATTTGGCACCAGCATATGTTCAGTAAATAACTGAATGGGTAAATGAATGAATTTGGGGAGTGGATGGGCGAACAACCCCTTGGATGACATATGGAGGAGGGGACAGCCTCCAAACCTTTAGAGGGCTGAAATCCCACCTAGCCTCTTCACTATAGTTTTTTGAGCGACTAAGGGCAGGTTTCTGGGCTGTCCCTTTCGCCCTCGGTAGAAATTCACTGCTCTGCCACTTACTGAGTGTGAGCAGTGCGGGCCACCACCCGCGCCCTCCAGATCGGAGCACAGAGGAGGACACCTGCCATACTCCCGCGTAGCCGAGCGCGCACAGGGTCCCAGAGCCGATTCAAACAGGGACACGCCTCGGGGGCGCGCAGAACGCTACTTTAAATGGGCGGAGCTTATGGAGGCTGGGCTAAGGAGCATAGAGGGAGAGCTCGGCGTTGCTAGGGGATTCTGATTGGTTGCTCCGGAAGGGTTGCCCCCGCGATGCCCCGCCTCCCGGGTCGCAGTAGGTACTCGCGGCAGCGGCTGTGGGCTCCTGACACGGGGGATTGAGCAAGCGAGAGGGTAAGGATCAAGGAGGACCCTGGACCTGGGATCTTTGAGGGTCGAGGCCGAGAACCCCGACACCACACGGGAATCCGGAGTCTGGTAGGCCCCAACGCCTCCCTTCTTCCTGGAACTAGTCGCTGCCGCTTTCCGACACTGGTCTGGCAAAAGGACACCGTCCTAGAACCCATGTAGTTCTAAAGGAAGAGCCCAGACTCCGGTAATTGATGGTCGGGGGAGGAGTGACAATCATGAAAGCGACTTGGTGCCGCAACCGTCCTAAAACTCACTGTGTAGACAAGGTTATTCTCCACCTCACAGAGTGCTGGGATTAAAGGTGTGTGCCTCAACACCCTGCCATAACACCCCCATTTTGAGGCAGTGTCTTCCTATGTAACCCTGGCTTGGCCTGAAACGCGCTTTGTGGACTAGGCTGGCCTGGAATTCGTGGAGATCCCCCTGCCTCTACCCACCCGAGTGCCGGAATTAAAGGCCCGTGCGCCACTATGCCCGGTGAGATAATTAACTTTTTATCTTCCACAGCTCAACATAAAAAGCTGATTAGAGAGCAAAGAAGATTCAGTTGGGTCCTGATAATTGACTCCAAGGCAATGCTGCAGAAGACAGGTACCCTCAACCTACCCGGGGTGGCTTTCGGAGTAGTGCTGTAGAGGGGGAAGCTCCAGGCCCCGATACTTGTTCTTCTTCCTTGATATGGGGAGAAGTGTGACTCTCCTTGGAGCTGGGCCAGGAAAAGCAAGGTGATGCTCCCCAGCCAAGAATCGGTTCTGCTCCAAAGAGCACTTCCTTCCTCAGCCCTGCTCCAGCATACAGGCCCTGTCTTATGGGGTCCCGGCCTGCTGTAGCAGACCTGTAAAGTGGGTACAGTAACTTACATGTAAGAACACTGAAGTCCAAGAGGGAAGGGCTCACATAGGCGAGCAGCCGGGTCTGAGTCTGAGGCTTTAAGAGCCCAAGGCCTCAGAAACCTAGTCTATCCACAGTGTACTGTCTTTGGAGAGGAGGAGGAATACGATCTCACATACATCAAGCGCATGACTGCAGGGGTCAGTCCTATTCATGCTCAGCCTGTGGCAACAGCAAGTGGGTAGCCTCGCCTTTTAGACAGGCTACCTTGCCCTGTCGACCTGCACATGCAGAGATGACTCTAAGGACTCTAACCTGAACTGGGTGGTCTGGGTTCCCCCTGTGCTGTACAGGGTGAAGTAATGCTAAGATGGCGTGAAGGGTGCTGTGATGATGAGGGGGAGAGGCCGTGGGAGCCATTTAAGTCACTGTCCACCTCCCCCTCAGTGCTCTTACTGGCCCTGGTGGCCCAGGTGCTGATGCTGGAGAATGGGCTCCTGCGAACGCCACCCATGGGTTGGCTGGCCTGGGAACGTTTCCGCTGTAACATCAATTGTGACCAGGACCCAAAGAACTGCATCAGGTGAGTAAGATTTGCACAACCAGGGCAATAAAATGAGGGCAGGGAGTGGAGGACACTCATCAGCAAAAAGTTCAAGGTCAGGATCACCCAGCCTAGAGAGACTGCAGGATGATACCTAGCCCTGTGACCTATGTGGGGCCTCAGTGGGTAGGGACCTTGAGGTGGACATGGCTCCTGAGCTAACTGAAAAGAGATAAAAGGCCAGACAGGCCCCACATGCTTCCCTTGGCCTAGTACTGCCCTTTGGCCTAGGGCCAGACCACCCCCTTCATTCCACCCTGATACAATCTTGGGATGTCATGTACTCTTGTTATTTGGCCTAGCCCTCAGCAGATAGCAGAGGCATGATGATTGTTTCTTCTTCTTCTTCTTCTTCTTCTTCTTCTTCTTCCTCTTCTTCCTCTTCTTCTTCCTCTTCCTCTTCTTCTTCCTCTTCCTCTTCCTCTTCCTCTTCCTCTTCCTCTTCCTCTTCCTCTTCCTCTTCTTCTTCTTCTTCTTCTTCTTCTTCTTCTTCTTCTTCTTCTTCTTCTTCTTCTTTTTGGCTTTTCGAGACAGGGTTTTTCTGTATTGTTTTTGGAGCCTGTTCCAGAACTCTCTCTGTAGACCAGGCTGGCCTCGAACTCACAGAGATCTACCTGCCTCTGCATCCCAAGTGCTGGGATTAAAGACGTGTGCCACCAATGCCTGGCTTTTTGTTTGCTTGTTTGTTTTTGTTTTTCCAGACAGGGTTTCTCTGTATTGATTTGGAGCCTGTCCCGGAACTCGCTCTGTAGGCCAGGCTGGCCTCGAACTCACAGAGATCCACCTGCCTCTGCCTCCCAAGTGCTGGGATTAAAGGCGTGCACCACCAACGTCAGGCTTCTTTTGGTTTTTTGAGACAGGGTTTCTCTTTATGGCCCTGGCTGCACTAGACCTAGCTCTGTAGACCAGAATGGCCTCGAACTCACAGAAATCTGACTGCCTCTGCCTACAGAGTGCTGGAATTAAAGACATGCACCACAACCCACCCAGCTAGAGACACAAATTTATAGCCAGAATTCACACTCAGAACAGAGGAAAGAGCAGCAATGAGGGTCAGCCTGGGTTGTTGAGCGACACCATCCTCTTATCCCTTGCTAGCGAACGGCTCTTCATGGAGATGGCTGACCGACTAGCCCAGGATGGATGGCGGGACCTGGGTTATGTATACCTCAACATCGATGACTGCTGGATTGGTGGGCGTGATGCCAGAGGCCGCCTGATGCCTGATCCCAATCGCTTCCCTCATGGGATTGCCTTCCTAGCTGACTATGTAAGTTCCACTCCAGCACCCGCCCCTTAGGATGAAGGCCACACCTCTCCCTCCTATGTGCCTGGGGCTCTACTGGCACAGTCTCCGATGAGAACTGAGTACAATGGTGGAAACTGAAAAATGAACACCTACTTTTGGTCTAATGAGGCGAGAGCCAGAAAGGAACTTTAGCAAAAAGAAAGACCCCTGGAGTAGGCATTAGGTTGAATTGGTCCCAGAGATGAGGCCTCTGGGGCAATAAAAGGCCTCAAGGCAAGAGATAGCTGGAGGAAAATGGCCACAGCTGACCTGTCTTTCAATCAATGGGAGCCATTGAGAGTTTCTGTTTTATTTCATTGAGACAGGGTCTTGTGTAGCCCAGGATGACCTCCAACACTCTGTAGCTGAAGATAACCTTAAACTTCTGGTGGTAGCTGGATGTAGTAGTGTGTACCTTTAGTCCTATGCTCCAGAGGCAGGCAGATCTCTGAGTTCAAAGCCAGCCTGGTCTACATAGAGAGTTCCAGAACAGCTACATAGAGAGATCTTGTCTCAAGCAAACAAACAAAAGCGTTTGATGCTCTGGTATTTTAGGTCATGCACTCTGCACAGTTTATGCAGAGCATGCTAGCCAAGCACTCTGCCCGCCGAGCTACACCCACAGCCCTAGGCCACTGAAAGTTTTAACCTGTCGAGATATGCCTATGAAGAAGGTCTCACTGAGCCACATATGTCTCTTCAACCCCGGCAGGCTCATTCCCTAGGTCTGAAGTTAGGCATCTATGAGGACATGGGCAAAATGACCTGCATGGGTTACCCCGGCACCACTCTAGACAAAGTGGAGCTGGACGCGGAAACCTTTGCCGAGTGGAAGGTGGACATGCTGAAGCTGGATGGCTGCTTCTCTACTGACAAAGAGCGAGCAGAGGGTGAGTTCATGCCTGGCTGCACCATCGTATGGAGAGAGGGCAGCAGCTGTGGCGCTCAGTTCGCCTGTACCCCGTGCTGGTAGTTTTCCCAAATCCCTCACCCCTGCTTGCGGCTCCCAGGCCCCCTACACATGCAATGACACCGTAGCTACATAGGCTTGGCACCCAGAAAGTAAACCTTTAGGTACAGGGAGGCACTTCCTAGACTGTCCTGTGTGTGTGCTCAGTCACCAAACTGGGGTTTCTGCAGGATATCCCAAGATGGCCGCTGCCCTGAATGCCACAGGCCGTCCCATCGCCTTTTCTTGCAGCTGGCCAGCCTATGAAGGGGGCCTACCCCCCAAGGTAAGTCATTCTGTGCACCTGCCTGCCTGCCACGGCTTCTCACTCCCAGGCCAAGGGCAGACTGCCACCTTAGCCAGAGTTGCTCTCCTCAGAGTTAGCCGGCATACCCATTTGTAGGTCATTGAACCATAGAGGAGGCCTCAGCCAGCTCATCAGGTAGGTAGTTGGTGTTAGCATCCAAGACAGGCAAGCAAGGCATAGGCACAGTGTTCAGCAAGGGATCAGAATCCTGGATGGTTCCACATGGGTCAGAAGACCCAGAAGGCTGCTGAGGCCAGGCAGAGCCTCAGAAGGCTTAGACCTCCGAAACCGAAGGAGGCAAGTGGTAGCACTGTCACCAAAGAAACGCACATCATGCATGTGGCACACAGTGGGGAGGGTGTTGTGCACACCCCCTGTATGGAGGGAAGGCTTGGGCAGCCCCTGAATGGAGCCACCTTCCCAGACAACACACCCCTGGAGACCCATTCTCTGCCTCATTCCAAGCCTCCATCTGCTAGCCTCCCCAGCTGGTAGGTGGCCCCTGGGCATCAGGGTGACTGGTGCTGGCTCCTGCCTTTCCCAACATCCAGGTGAACTACACGCTGCTTGCCAACATCTGTAATCTCTGGCGAAACTATGACGATATCCAGGACTCCTGGAAGAGTGTGCTCTCCATTGTGGACTGGTTTGTGAAACACCAGGACATCCTGCAGCCAGTGGCGGGTCCTGGACACTGGAACGACCCAGACATGGTACCAACTTGGAAAGGGGAGGTCTCTAGCCCCGCCCTCCCCGTACCATCCCTGCAACCTCCACAACCCACCCACCACCCTGTGCTCTCCTCCTTATAGGATAGTGGTCCAACCACCCTGTGCTCTCTTCATTATAGGATAGTTGTCCAACCACCCTGTGTTCTCCTCCTTATAGGATAGTGATCCTCAACCTTCCTGTTGCTTCAACCCTTTAACACTGTTGTCGGGACCCCAACCATAAAATTATTTTGTTGCTACTTCATCACTGTAATTTTGCTACTGTTATGAATTATAATGTAAATATCTGATATGTGACCCCCTAGGGTCAGGACCCACAGATTGAGAACCGTTGTTCTAGGTAGGGCCTAAAACAACACAACTGTGTGCCTGAACTCGGTGTGTCGGGGTCTTCTAAACCCCTCCCTGTCCCCCTCCCTTCGCATCAGAATGTTCAAGAGCACAGTCTGGGAATGCCCATTGTTAAGCACCTCCCAGGACATTCTGGAGCCTCAAAGAGCTCTGAGAGCCTATCTGTAACATGCACCCAGCTTTCCCTCTCTGCCTCTGGCTCCTTTGATGCTGTACTCTCTCACCCTGCAAAGCCGCCAGTCCTGCCCCCATCACTGCCGCCCCCCCAATCCTGCTTCTAGTCCTTGTCCTTTAGATCTCAGTCATAGCCCTGGTGACTTACACTCTCAGGATCATCAGCTCTGTCAGTCAGGAAGCATCACCCGTCAGTAACCATGGTGAGGCAGGAGGAGGGCCAGCCTGGAGAGCAGAGTTCTGGAACTTCTGCTCCAGCTCTCAGCTTCATCTGCCCAGTTTCTTCTGCTCTCTTGCTCTTTCTCTCCCCTCCCCTCCTTCCTTCCCCTCCCCCTCTCTCTCCTTTTTTTATTTTTATTTTTTTCCTTTAGACAGGGTCTCACTATGTCACTATGGAATCCTGGCTGGCCTGGAACACACAGATCTGCGCCTCTACCTCCAGTGCTGGAATTAAAGGCATACGCCGCCACACCTGGTCTCGATGGCCTAGATCCTTAATATCTTCCTTGCCTCAGTCTTGTCATCTGGAAATGAGGATAATGACAGAGGCTACAGCATTAGTCGTGGTTACTTGCATCTTGACTATGAACTGGTTGGTCGTCTTAGAGTCAAGAGTCTCCGTGGTCCCCCAGCTGTGGCTATGGCGAAGGGTGGCCGATGGCAGGTGTAGGAACTCCAGCTCCTCTCCCTAACGCATTTCTTCCTTTCACACCTCCTTCTCACCTGCCCTCCCTCTTTTGTTGCGTTTGAGATAGAAGTCTCTGTATCGCCCTGGCTAGCTGTATAGACCTCTTGCACTTGAACTCATGGAAGTTCACCTGCCTCTACCTCGCAAGTGCTAAGATTACAGGCAGGAGCCACAGAGGCCAAAACTCTCCTCTGTTTTGTTTTGTTTTGTTTTGTTTCTCACCCAGTACTGAAGTCAAGCCCAGGCTTTATATGCCTAGGCAAGCACTCTACTCTGAGCTATATACTCACCCTTTCTATAGTGTTTGCTTGGAGACAAATCTCTCAGGCTAACTCTGAACTCCCTCTGCCCAGAGCAGGTCCTGAACTTGTATGAACCTGCATCTCCCCACTCCTTCCGCACAGGGGAAGCTGACGCTAGAAGGGATATGACTTGCTGCTGCAGTACCCTTGGCTATGCTAAGCCAGGTCCCCATGTGTGGCCTTCACCCCAACCCCTGTCGGCTCTTTTGTTGGTTTGTTTGTGTTTTTTGTTTTTGTTTTTCAAGGCAGGGTTTCTCTGTGTTGTTTTGGAGGCTGTCCTGGAACTAGCTCTTGTAGACCAGGCTGGCCTCTAACTCACAGAGATCCACCTGCCTCTGCCTCCCGAGTGCTGGGATTAAAGGCGAGCGCCACCAACGCCCGGCTTCCCTGTCTGCTCTTGCCTTGGTCACATGTTTGGCAAAGGCCCTAAGGAGGCCCTCGCTATTTGCTCCTTTCCTCTGTCCCCAGCTGCTCATCGGAAATTTTGGCCTCAGCTTTGAGGAGTCCAAGGCCCAAATGGCCCTGTGGACAATACTGGCAGCCCCACTCTTCATGTCCACGGACCTTCGTACCATCTCCCCCCAGAACATAGACATTCTTCAGAATCCACTCATGATCAAAATCAATCAGGATCGCTTAGGCATCGCGGGACGCAGGATCTTCAAGGTACTGGAATGGAGTGAGCAGAAGAGGAGGCTTACGGAGCTGGGCTCCCCGGAGAACAGTAGAGCTGGGGCTGGGTCTCCCTCCTGGTAGCATGGGTTTAGGGATGCTGCTGGGAGCTGCTGGCTTCTTGTCTGGGTCAGAACAGGACAGTTCCTGCGTCAGAGTGGGGATGCATGGCAGGAGCACGGGATCAGTAAGTCACAGTGGCTGCATGCAGGTGATGTCCTGCAGAAAATTGGTACTTTTCTCCAGAGTTTCATGAGTGTTTTAGTACACTGTTGCTACTGCTAGAGTCTACTGTTTATTGAGTACCACTGTTTTACTGAAATTAGAACTTCCAGAATCTAAGCAACTTTTCCCCAAGGCCATGTATTTGTACTTGAATTCAATAGTGTCTCCCCAAAGCCTTTGTTCTGTGCATAAATCCCTACCTCTAGTGAAAAGAAATATATCAAATATAGAAAGGACTTGTAGAGAACCAGCAAGATGGCTCACTGGTAAAGCTGCAGACCCTGATGGCCTGGGTTCAGTCTTGAGACCCACAAGGTAAAGAAGAGAACCAAATGCCACAGGTTCTCTGATTTCCATGTGTTCTCTGATGTACTTACAACATGCACACACGCACGCACGCACACACGCACACACGCACACACGCACGCACGTTAACAGTTAATAAGTGTTGATGCTAGGAGGATGGCTCAGTGTTTAAGAATACTTACCTCTCTTCCAGGAACTCAGGGTTCAATTCCCAGAATGCATGTGGTGTGTGTAACTCCAATTCCAGGAATCTGACACCCTTTTCTGGCCTCAGGCATTGTATACATGCATGCAGTAAATTTATATACATGCAGACAAAACACTCATACATATAAGTATAATGATAAATCTCTTAAAAAAGAAGAAGTCAGGCAGTGGTGGCGCACACCTTTAATCCCAGCACTCGGGAGACAGAGGCAGGCAGATCTCTGAGTTCAAGGCTAGCCTGGTCTACAGAGTGAGTTCCAGGTCAGCCATGACTATTATATAGAGAAACCTTGTCCCAGGGAGAAAAAAAAGAAAGCAGAAAACAAAACAAAAAACAGAAGGCACTTGTTGAATTAGTGATGTCCCTGCCAGTGGTGCCAATGGTGGAACCGTGCCCGAGGGCTGCTCTGCACAATGGCCCGTCCTCACTGCATGCGGCTCGCCTCGTGCCTTCCCCTCCCCCCCCCCCCCCCGTTAGGGTTTAGTGTTCCCTCTTAGTAGTGTCCCCAACTGCAGCCCTGGAATTGTCTTGGCAGTGCTCATATGGTGTAGCCTCAGCTCTTTGTGTCTGTACCTCCTGTCATCCAATGCAGGGCCTGGCACCGAGTTAGGCAAGCGTCTGCTGAGGCAGGAAAGAAGGGAAAGAAAAGTGTAGGTCCTAGATGGCTCAAGTCTTTGTGACAGAGCAATGGGCTGCAGATAGAGAGAGAGCTTATGGGGGAGGGTATGGAAGGCAGGGATAGCAGGACCAAACTGAACATGGAACTCCATCCAGTGGTTCTCTTTTGTGCCTAGAGTAAATCCCAAATCGAGGTGTTTAAACGGCGTCTGTCTAATGAGGCAAGTGCTCTGGTCTTCTTCAGCCGCAGGACAGACATGCCTTACCACTTCCATTCCTCCCTCTTGGAACTGAAGTTCCCTAGATCCAGAGTGTATGAGGTAAGTGCCCTGCCACCTACAGTCCCTGGCCCAGCCTTCGGGCATCCGGATGGCCCTGGCTCACACATGGTATCCCCTATGCCTTTGAGCCGTGGAAAGTGCCTGCCAGGGGCGGAGGTGCAGCGGGAGGGACCAAGCTGGTGCTATTCTCTGCACTGTTGTTTCCAGCCACATAGATGGAGCTGCTCGGTATGAATGAGCCCCTCGACATCCCCAGCCGGTCCTCGCTCACTGGCCAGCTTTTGCACCATTGTCCTTACAGTTGTCCACAGGGTGGGGCTTTTTCTGTTGTCTGCTTGAACATCTGTCAACCTTGCTAATAAGTGATTGGGAAACTCCTACTGGGGTGTACTGGAGGCCTAGGACAGGCAGGCTGAAGTATATAGGCTTCTAGGTCTTCCGAGGAGTAGGTCTCTGTATAACTGTTCTCATGTTAGCCTCGACAATGATGTGTACCTCCCCAATACAGGGCCAGAATGTCTTCACAGGGGATGTCATCAGCGGCCTCAAGAGTGAAACCAACTTCACCGTGATCATCAATCCTTCAGGGGTTGTGATGTGGTACCTATATCCTATCAAGAGCCTGAGGCTCTCCACACACTGATGTCCCAGTGGTGAGGACCCAAGAATGACAGGCTATGGCAGCCCCACTGAGCCTGGACCACGGAGCCTTGGCATGCCAAGGACATGGCAGGGTTCTGTCCTTCCCAGGCTGCTCGGCGATGTGACCCCATCATACCCAAAGTGCATTTGCAGGGCCAGTTTCCATGCCCCGCTGGAGCAGGGTCCCTCTTGGAAACTAATCTTGGCAGTTTGCTGTGCTCTTCCGGCCTCTGCCTCCACAGCTCTGCAGAAACTGCTGAAGAATTTGGCCAGCCTCCTGAGCCCCCACAGGCAGGGCACCGGTGCCCATTGGACTCTAGCCTCTGACTTTGCTGACTCAGTAATCAGGATTTGGAATTCTTTTGAATTAAGAGTAGAGCTGTGACTCCGTGCCAGGAGCTCTCACAAATCATGTGATTGGCCTTCCTACTGGAGAAGGCCTTTGCAGTTGACACCCTGGGAAATGAGGGATGGATTGGAGACCTTAGCTCCCTTAGGTCACCAATAAAGCTGTTTTTTAACTGTTCACTAATTAAGTAGTGGTATTATAGACTTGGGGCCAAGGAGTTGGGTGGGTGTTGAGACTCAGTGAGGGACTTTGGGTGGCATTACCCAGAGGCTGACTTCAAGTCTCGGCCCACATGGAAGATGTATAGCACCTTCTGGTCCTTCATTTTCCAGAGTGACATTTGAACCTGATTCCTCTTAAGATTCCTTTTCCTGCATTTTCTACTTCCTGGAGATGCCAGGCTTGCCTCCCAACAGGGGGCCGTCTCTGGTGTGCCTGACTCTAGGGAGGTGGTGCCATCATAGGTGAACTGCAATATGCTGTGCTCTGCACAGCACTGTTCCTTGGTCCCCCTAATCCTCAACCTGATGGCTCTACCACCCCCACTTTCTTATCTCCCAGTCTAGCAGCAGAAGAGATTAGATTTCCCTGCTGTGTTCACAAGTCTGGGGGTTCTTTCTGTCCCAGGTCTGTTGCTTCTTCGACTAAGGAAAGCGGCAGCAGTCAAAAGCTCGGGACTTCCCGTTACTGCTCTCATTCCCAAGCCCCACATCTTTATGTAGCTCAGGATATGGGACACCTCTTTAACCTGGTGGCTGGCTGTTTGCCATTCACAGTGCTGGTGGCAGAGCAGGCTAGCTAGCAAGGTCCTTCTTGTGTCTTAAATTCAGGGGTGCTCTTTGCTTCAGGCCTTGTAACAGCCCTGCCAATGAGATGATTTCTGGGTAGAGCTATATCCACCTTCAGGGTTTTGAGTTCCTTGAGTCTACAGTAAAGTGCAAAAAACCTAGAACATGTTTGATGGTGCCTTGTATGAGAGAGAGAGAGAGAGAGAGAAAGAGAGGAGAGAGAGAGAAACGATCTATTAAGAGCTGGGCGGTGGTGGCACACTGGGAGGCAGAGGCAGGAGGATCTCTGTGAATTCGAGACCATCCTGGTCTACAGAGTGAATTCCAGGACAGCCACGTCTAAACAGAGAAACCCTGTCTCGAAAAACAAACAAAAAAGGATTTATTAAATTAGTTTAGGAAATATGGTCAAAATGGTCCCTACAGTAGCTGTCTCACATCTGGAATGTCAAGAACCCACAGTTGCTATGTTCTTGAAGCTGAAACCCTCAACAGGCGTAGTTCAACAATGGCTGTCTCACACCCAGAGACTGACAGTCCTGTTGCTCAGTCCTCAAGGCTGAGTACCTGGGCAATCCCAGCCTGCTATGAAAGGCCTGGGAGGCTCCTGGAAAGCCACTCCAGTCTTGTAGAAAGCCCAAAAAGTTGGTTCTGGTATCAAAGAACTCAGCAGTAAATTAACTCAGCAATGACAGGAAAAGCCAATGGTGATCTGGCCCCGTCCTTTTATATCTGGGCTGCCTCCATAAGGTGCTGTCCAAATTTTGGTAGAGTTTTCCCACATGGATTAAGGCAATTGGTGTAGTTAGGGTTTCTGTTGCTATGAGAAGACATCATGACCACAGCCACTCTTTTTGATTTTGTTTTTTTGACAGGGTTTCTCTGTCACTTTGGAACTCACTCTGTAGACCAGGCTGGCCTCAAACTCACAGAGATCTGCCTCCCAAGTGCTGCAATTAAAGGCATGTGCCACCACTGCCCGGCAAACACAATAGCTCTTATTAAGGGAGTGGGTTATAGTTCAGAGGTTTAGTCCGCTGGGACCTGGCAGCCCTCAGGCAGACACGCTGCTAGAGAAGGAACTGAAAGTTCTGCATCTGGATTAGTAGGCAACAAGTAAAGAAAACATTAGGTGTGGCTTGAGCTTCTGAGATCTCCGAGACCACTCCCTAGTGACACACCTCCTCCAACAAAGCCACACCTAATAGTGTCACTCCCTATGGCCAAGCACTCAAACACACAAGTCTATGGTGCCCATTACTATTCAAACCACTACAGCAATCAAGACAAGTCCACTGGCCAAGCTGAATGTAAACAACCCCTCAATGGACACCAGATGATGAAATGTGTCTAACTGCTCATGTTCAACACCAGGCTTCTAGAAAATTTTAAATAAGGAACAATATAGATACTTAAGATAAAGTTTATAAATTGGTTTTTTTTTTTTTTTTTTGGTTTTTTGAGACAGGGATTCTCTATGTGACTCTGGCTGTCCTGGAATTCAATTTGTAGTCCAGGCTGGCCTCGAACTCAGAGATCCTCCTGCTTCTGCCTCCTGAGTGCTGGGTTTAAAAGTGCACCACCACCACCTGCCTAAGTTTATAAATTCTTAGAGTCTACTCATGTTCACAGTAATATATGTCTAGTTTCTTTGTCTTTGGTAACTTTGTTAAGCTTTAGCTAAGCTGAGTCATATAAGAAACTATAGTATCCAATTGTAATGGTGTACTATGAAAGGATCAGGAAACTTCCCAGTCTCTATAGAGCGAGTTCCAGGACAGCCTTCAAAACAATACAGAGAAACCCTGTTTGAGGACCTAGAAAACCAAAGAGTCTACAACCATTCAGAGGTGGAGGTGACCAGATGTAGTAGTGCATGCCTTTAAAGCTAGAGGCAGGTGGACCTCCCTGAGTTCAAGGCCAGCCTGGTCTACATAGTGAACACTAGGCCAGCTATGACTGTAGAGTGAGAATTACAGCTACCTGATCCTGACATCTGGAAAGACACTGTGGTCACCAAGTTTTCCTAGCAGGAATCCACCAATCATTTTGTGAAAACCCACACCAAAGTCTCCATGTAGAGGATCCTGGCTCCAGTTATAGCTACCATATAGGTTTTTTGTTTCTTTCAAGACAGTGTTTCTCTGTGTGGCCCCAGAGATCCGCCTGCCTCTGTTTCCCAAGTGCTGGGATTAAAGGTGTGTGCCACCAACACCCGGATTCAAACATTTTTTATATATAATTTCAATGTTTTATTATTACCATCTTATTACCACCACTGCCCAGTGCCTCAAACTTTATTATGCTTAGTTGCAAGACGAAGCCATGAAGAGCACCCACCTCACTGATCACTCTAGGATTAAGTTGACATGTTGCCTAGCAACCTACTATGGTAGTGAGCATTTTCAAAAGTCTTTGAGCACAGAACTTGTCTGCTTTGGCTAGCTGGAACCCTCTAAACCATGACTGTGGCCTGGGAGGCAGTGGAACAAAGCTCTACCTCCAACTCTGAATGTCTCAAGCAGTCAGAGAACCATAGCTGTCCTCCAAATCTGAAATTTTTATTTCTAATTTTCTAAAGTTTGCCCAACAAAACTGATTCTACAAATATAACCTTCATTGGGCAGCTAGAAGTCAGCAGTGTGTGGTGTGTGTGTGTGGTGTGTGTGTGTGTGTGTGTGTGTGTGTGTGTGTGTGTTAAATCCAGACCCGGCAATGAGGCATAGCCTCTGTTCTCCAGGAACCTTCAGGTTGCAGGGGAGAGAGGTACACACAGTCCCTACAGGACTGAGGCAGCCCTTTGCTGGAACACACAAAGGGCACTCCGCAAGCCCAGCAGAAGGCAATTAGCCCGGAAGCAGAGCTCAGAGCACGCTCGTAGGAGAAAGGACTTCAGGCTGTTTTGAAAGAAGTGGAATGATGTGGGGAGGAAGGCACAGAGGCAAAGCCAGCTCACTTCAGTGTCTGCCAGTGTTCAGCACAGCTGGATCACACAGCTGTAGAGGTCAGAGTGGGGCAGATGGAGCCCAAATAGTAATGAGGTCCTTGTATGCACAAGAACCAGAAGTCTAGCCCTGACCCCGGAGACTGTGGGAAGCCACTGTGCAGTTTGGAAGCAAAGTGGAACCAGGCAAGTTACTCATCTTTTAAATTATTCATTTAAAAAGTAGACTTCCCATGAACACAGAGCAAGATTCAAAAGGTACAAATGGAGTTTATAGTCTCCCTCCGATCTTTCCCCTAACTCATGCAGCTCCCCACCCAGAAGCAACCTGTTGACTCTGTCAAAGCGCTCCATGAGACCTGCTCAACTACTAGATAGGGAAGAGTCATGGTGATGTAAATGGGATGAATTGTGACTCAGTTTTTCATTTATTATATTTTGGAGGTTAGAATATTGTTGCACAATGGTTATTTTGCTTTGTTCTGTAACAGGGTCTCACTGCACAGTTCAGACTGGCCTCCAACTCACTACCCTCCTAACTCAACCTCCCAGGTGCTGGCAGGATGGCTCAGAAGGTAATGGCACCTGCCACCAAGCCTAAGGGTCTGACTTTGACCATGGACATACTCAGAGTAGGAGGAAAGAACTGATTCCCCAAGTGCTGTGCTTGGCTGCGCCTGCCCAGATTATTAGGGGGATTTTCTAGCAGCTGTCAGCATTCTCACAAGAGATGCTTAAGCTCATTCTAGACCAGTGTTAGGAGGTGCCTACCTGCCATTCAGCTGGAGCCTGGAGAACAACAGACTGGGACGAGGGTACCAGTGGTGGCGAACCCAGGAGCAAGAGAGGTTACAAGTGAAAAGACAAGGGTGGCATTGGAAGGGCAGAGAGTTCTGGGGTCAGGAAGAAGCTGGGTGGTCAGTACTAACGGTCTATAGGAGGCAAGAACTCTTGCTCATGAGTGTAGGATGGAATCCCTGCTACACCACACTACGTCTGAAAGAGTGTTCTCCAGCAGGGTGGGATGAACAGGTCCTATCCTCTCCACTCCCCAGAACTGACTCAAAGGAAAGGCCAGGACAGACGCTACACATTCCACTTGCTACCCAGTGTCTAGGTAACCTCAGCAGCAGACTGATATTTTGCAGTATTAATCTGGATTTTGACTCTGTTTTGAAGATATTCACACAGACAAGATTTTCAAACAATCAGCCAGGTGCTGAACAAAGAAGAGCAAGTCAATGTGTACCTGAAGGCCCACCGCTGTCTTCTGTGTGTCAGAGTGTGTCAGTGTGTACTTGGAGACCCACCGTTGTCTTCTGTGTGTCAGTGTGTACTTGGAGACCCACCATTGTCTTCTGTGGAACCTGAGTTCTTATACCCAGGGTATGCTGAGGAGGTAGAGACAATACAGACCCATACCAGCTGAGGAGAGGGGAAATATGGGAGCC